AAGAAAGGTCTTTCCTGTTTTTTTCAGGTTTCCAAAGACTGTAACTGTGCCAATGCTATAATGCCAAAGCTGCAGGGTTTGCTGAATGTTTTGGAATGTGATATGATCTGTATTCTTTAACCATGATAATGGCTTGTTGGTTACATCGTATGATAGTTTTAAGTTTACTGTAAAACTTGTTTCCATTCAAAGAATATTAGATACATGTACATAATGAATGTGATAATGAATATTCCTATACTGTCAGTGTCAAGAGAGGCCTGTCAAATAATTGTTATAGGATTTTAATTGTTGCAATATCATTCTCTGTAACATTATTTCTTCTTTTGTGGACAAAATAGTTTTATTGATACAAGAATATTGAGCTCTAAGTTCAAGAAATATTTTCTTATGTGCAGAATGTTTTTCTCATTATGAGAACTGTTAGCTAGCTCTTAGCTCAAGAAATGTTTTCTTGTATACAGAATGAGGTTCTTGCTACAAGAATAATTAGCTCTTAGTTCAAGAAATTTTTCTCATGTGCAGAATGGTTTTCTTACTATAAGAACAGCTCTTCAAGAAATGTTTTCTTGTATACAGAATGATTTTCTTGCTACAAGAATAATTAGCTCTTAGTTCAAGAAATCTTTTCTCATGTGCAGAATGGTTTTCTTATTATAAGAACTGTTAGCTAGGCTCTTAGTTCAAGAAATGTTTTCTTGTATACAGAATGATTTTCTTGCTACAAGAATAATTAGCTATTAGTTCAAGAAATATTTTCTTGTCTACAGAATGGATTTCTTATTACAAGAGCAGTTAGATCTTAGTTCAAGAAATCTTTTCTTGTATATACAGAATATTTTCTTATTACAAGAACAGTTAACTCTTAGTTCAAGAAATCTTTCTCTTGTCTACAGAATGGTTTTCTTACTACAAGAACAGTCAGCTCTTAGTTCAAGAAATATTTTCTTGTGGGCAGAATGGTTTTCTTGCTATAAGAACAAATAGCTCTTAGATCAAGAAATATTTTCTTGTGTAACAGTTAGCTCTTCGTTCAAGAAATATTTTCCTGCGAACAAGATAGATATTCTTCCTGTAAGAACCCGTAATTCTTATCATGAGAATAATATTCTTAATGGTTTATTAGCTTTAAGAAATAAATTCTGAGAATAAGAACAACGTGGCGTGGATTTCTTGAATTTTCTGGTAAACGGGGATTCTTGTTCAAAGAATACGGTTCTTGCTGACAGTAAAAAGTTCTTTGCACAAGAAAAAAATTATTCTTTTAGTGCAATGCAAGAACATGAATCTTAATCTATTTCTATGTATCACAAGAATTTTGGTCTTGACAGAAGAAATATATTCTGGGTGTGAGATGAAGTAAGAAGCTATTTCTAGCAGATAAGAATGTAGTGTTCTTGGGATAAGAACGAAAATCTTGAAAGAACAAAATAACTTCCAGATTTATAGAATTTTAGGCTTGTATTGAGAACTGCAGTCTTTGTATAAGAACAATTGTCTGCATCACGAATCTTACTGTAAGAATAAGATTCTAGAAGTAACCAACAATAACTTATATAGAAACCTATAAGAAAAATATTCTTACTGCAAGAAAAAGTCTATCAAGAAAAATTACTTAATTCGTGGACAAAATTTCGTTCTTAAATACAGAAAAATTTGCTTCAGGGAAGAAATATTTTCTGACTGTAAGAAAAAACAAGAATGCTAGAAATGTCATTTTTGGTAGTGTAGTAACTGGTGTTGGGTTACATCATGTTGCAATTTCAGAGAAGGCATTTAGGCTCCTGTCACCATAGATATACATGTATGTGAATGTGTTTGAGTAAGAATTAACAGAGCAGACCATATCCGAAGGTAAACATTATGCATTTGCTTTGCAAAACTTTCTAGTTTTTGCTCTGTTTCTCCTTCTGTTCCAAACACTGACCTCTGACCTGGTCAATGACCTGAAGCAGACTGTCTCTCACACCATGGCAACTTGTGTTGGGTTACATCATGTAGCAATTTTATAGCAGATTTACACTTCTGTCACCATATATGTGAATGTGTTGGTGAGTAAGAATTAACAGAGAAGACCATGTGCAAAAGGTAAAAATTATGCATTTGCTTTGCAAAATTATTATGTTATCTTTTCTAGTTAGATAATTGTAACACACGAAAGAAAGGAAAGTGATCACAATTCAGTTTTAGCTCACTGAAGAGGTAATCCTAACACAGAAGACAGATGCTTTGTACAGTATTTACAGATTCACACAATGAACAGTACTTAACCACGGCCAGTCCTAAAAAAAACAAAGTAAATGAATTAATACACTAATTTGGGGTAGAGATTTTTGGGGTAGAGCATTTTCCACAAGGCCAATTTTACCAAATAAAGCTTTGAGATAGAGGCACTATGCATTTTTTTAGCCTGCATCATGCATGTACAATGTATTGGACACTGTAGACTAGTATTTTAGGAAGAAAGGCTTAATTAATTATTGTTTAAAAAATATAAAAAAGCCACCTCTTGCTATCTGCCTGCATAAATTAATGGATGAAAAACATTAGCAGCTGAAGATCTGAAGATTGCACATCAAAATGACTTGGATTAAAATCCAGCAAAAATGTAACTAACGACAGTTAACTTCCCACTTGTCATGTCACAGCGCCTCCTACTGGATTGTTGAAGATGCTGCAGCTGGAGGGCAGGATCAGGGAGTTAGAACAACTGCTCCTGAAGTCCAACAAGCCTTCACCAGAGCAGCAAGTGGTGAAGCCTCGCAAAGACCAAGGAACAGGTAATTAATTTTACCAGAACTCAACCCCTTGCAATTGAAAGCAGATGTTGTACAAAGTCTTTTTAGCAAATTTTGCCTGATCACCAAAGACTGCAATTGATTATTGAAGCATTCTAATGGACCTATCACATTATTGCGTCACAGTTTGTTTACCGCAATGAATGCCGGTCAATCGACATTTATATTGTACAGGGGTGCGTAGCGTGGTGTGTGTTTATGTAGAGTTAGCCTTAATATGAAGCTTTTGATACAGTACTACTTTCGTCTAATGTCACAACTAAATCACCCATTACGGCACGTAATGCTGTGTCAACAAAACTAGACACAGCAAAAATCAAACATACCTAACTTTGAAAACTTTGAAATGATCTTTATTGTTTAACTGACCATTCTAGAATGTTTTTTAGAACAGGTAAACAAACTGTGACGTAATATGTGATAGGTCCATTCAATTGTTGTTTTATAGGCACTTGACTTATGCTAGCAGGAGTCATAAATTTGTTGCTGTTTTTGCTTCATTGTCTGTTTCCTTTTTGTGGAATGCCATTGATATTCTGCCTGATCACAGAAAACTGAAAAAGAAATTGAAGCATTCTAATTCAATTATCATATATTACAGTAGAGAAGTCAAACCCTTTAGAGTAGTTTTAGACATAGTTATAGTTCTAGACAGCTACCTTTATCATATAGACTTTAGTTATTTTATACTCTATTATGGCCCCGTTCATGATTGGATATCTGTTGCGAATCAATTCGATTTAAAAAAATAAATCGATTCATTTAGGAACATGAACGCTCCAAACCGGTTCCGTTGCGATTTATTCTGAACCACCTCGCGAGGTGGTCTGAAACGATACGATACGATTCGCATTCGTAGAATTGTAATCATGAACGCGCGGATGCGAAGCGTTCCGGTTCGACGCTGTACTCCCGGGTACGTGGGGGCCACGGTCGGTCATAGTTTGCGGCGCAGTGGCTTGTACTGCCGAAAATTCTACTTGAATCGTACAATCTTGACATCCAGTTCTAATTACTGATCGACTGAGGAAACGGGACTTCGAATTCCGATATTGACTTGGGTAAATCAGGAGATCCAGAGGAAACTGGATGGTGTGTACTAGAACCTACCCTGGGCGTGAGGGCGAGTGGTAGCCCAACAGGGGCATTGGGGCGGCGGACCGTGGGGGTTTGCGCCAGATGCGTCCGGGGCACAGCCTATGCCATGGGGAGGACATGAGTCGGGAACGAGCGACCACTCGCCCGGACAGGCGTAAACTCTCCGCCTTACGAGCCGGGTTCTCAGGAAATATTCAAAGAAATTGTGATATACATATGAAATGCAAGTCAATTCGAGGTGTGAAACCGTTTCCAGTGTGGGTTCAAGTTTTGAATCACGGACGCAAAAATGGCCAAAAATATATTCCGTTTCGATTCGGATCGTGGCCAAACCGGAACACATTTCAATCATAAACGAGGCCTATTTCATTGTTCTTTTATGTTTTGCATGAATTTGCAATAAACTTTTCACTATATATTAGGCACTTGACGTTATGCTGTCTTTGCTTTATTGTCTTTATTTTTTTTTCTGCACGGAGCAGACACCCACATTTCTGCGTCCTGTGCTGACCTGAAGGAGAATGGGGAAACCAAGTCTGGCACCTACACCATCGACCCTGATGACCTTGACTACGGAGTGGAGCCATTCCAGGTCTACTGTGACATGACCAGTGACAATGATACTGGTGAGTGGATACAACATTATTTTCTTGCTCCAAGAACAGTAAGCTCTTACTTCAAGAAATCTTTTCTTGAGTGCAGAATTGTTTTGAAATTCTTGCTGTCAGAAAAGTTAGCTCTTAGTTCAAGAAATCTTTTCTTGTGTGCAGAATTGTTTTCTTGCTGCAAGAACAGTTAGCTCTTAATTCAAGAAATCTTGTGTACAGAATGGTTTTCTTGCCATAAGAAAAGTTAGCTCTTAGTTCAAGAAATCTTTTCTTGTGTGCAGAATTGTTTTTTTGCTGTAAAAACAGCTATTAGTTCAAGAATTTTTTTCTTGTCGGCAGAATTGTTTTCTTGCTACAAAACAGCTCTTTAACTTAGTTCAAGAAATCTTTTCTTATGTACAGAATGGTTTTCTTGCTACAAGAACAGTTAGCTCTTAGTTCAAGAAATCTTTTCTTGTGGGCAGAATGGTTTTCTTGCTACAAGAACAATTAGCTCTTAGTTCAAGAAATCTTTTCTTATGTACACAATGGTTTTCTTGCTACAAGAACAGTTAGCTCTTAGTTCAAGAAATCTTTTCTTGTGGGCAGAATGGTTTTCTTGCTACAAGAACAATTAGCTCTTAGTTCAAGAAATCTTTTCTTATGTACACAATGGTTTTCTTGCTACAAGAACAATTAGCTCTTAGTTCAAGAAATCTTTTCTTGTGTACAGAATGGTTTTCTTGCTACAAGAACAGTTAGCTCTTACCTTACCTTAGACCTTTATATAGATCCTCCCGCAACCTTGTTGCATAGGTCGACTCCTTGTCTGACTTTTTGTCTCCAAAGGTTTCGGTCTTGCGCCACTACTGCCATATCCTTAAGTGAGTTAAGTCCAAGTTTTACCCCATCATTTTGTAGTGTTTTTACCCCATCATTTTGTAATGGTTTTCTTGCTACAAGAACAATTAGCTCTTAGTTCAAGAAATCTTTTCTTATGTACACAATGGTTTTCTTGCTACAAGAACAGTTAGCTCTTAGTTCAAGAAATCTTTTCTTATATACAGAATGGTTTTCTTGCTACACGAACAGTTAGCTTTTAGTTCAAGAAATCTTTTCTTATGTACAGAATTGTTTTCTTGCTACAAGAACAGTTAGCTCTTACTTCAAGCAATCTTTTCTTGAGTGCAGAATTGTTTTCTTGCCGTAAGAAAAGTTAGGTCTTAGTTCAAGAAATCTTTTCTTGTGTGCAGAATTGTTTTTTTGCTACAAGAACAGTTAGCTCTTAGTTCAAGAAATCTTTTCTTATGTACAGAATGGTTTTCTTGCTACAAGAACAGTTAGCTCTTAGTTCAAGAAATCTTTTCTTGAGTGCAGAATGGTTTTCTTGCTACAAGAACAGTTAGCTCTTACTTCAAGAAATCTTTTCTTGTGTGCAGAGTTTTTTTCTTGCTGTAAGAACAGTTAGCTCTTAGTTCAAGAATTTTTTCTTGTGGGCAGAATGGTTTTCTTGCTACAAAACAGCTCTTTAATTTAGTTCAAGAAATCTTTTCTTATATACAGAATGGTTTTCTTGCTACAAGAACAGTTAGCTCTCAGTTCAAGAAATCTTTTCTTGTGGCAGAATGTTTTTCTTGCTACAAGAACAGTTAGCTCTTAGTTCAAGAAATCTTTTCTTATGCACAGAATGTTTTTCTTGCTACAAGAACAGTTAGCTTTTAGTTCAAGAAATCTTTTCTAGTGGGCAAAATGCACTTTGCGGGGGAAATTCTGCTGGTAAACTTTACTTAATTTATTGACATCTCTTTTCATTACAGTAACTGTACAGTTACACACTGATTTTTGTCCATCAAAGATGATGCATTTGGCAAAATGTTTGTCTGCCACGAGCGGCAAGATTCTGTCAAATGACAGAAAGACATGTTCTATATAGCCAGCATAGAACATGTGTCAGTGTTCCTAAATGTGTCCCCTATCTACAGGAATCACAGTGGTGGGCCATGACAGTGAGGAGAGGATGTTGGTGAACGGCTATGAGACAGCTGGGTCCTACTCCAAGGACATAACCTACCACGGAGCCTCCATGGAGCAGATTGCTGCCTTGATCAAGGCTTCCAAATCCTGCAGGCAGTTTTTGAAGGTTAGCTGAACTAGCGCACCTTCAGTTGGCAGAACATACTGCAGGGTTCTAGCTAGTGCAAAGTAGCGTAGGGGGCCCCTATGCTAAATTTCCCCCCCTATGCTAATTTTTAATACAGCATAGGGGCATTGTGACTGTATTTCTTTGTCCGAGAATGCCAGATCAAATGTGAAAAATCAAAGATACATTGTACATACCTAAGAAATAACATTTTTTTCCCTCTGGGTATCCCTCAAATGACCTCTTTTTAAGCTCAAATCTTTAAAAGCTCCGCTTTGCTCCCTCATCATGCGGCCAGTGCCACTACGCTAAAATTAAATCCTAGCTAGAACCCTGATACTGTGCATGTACGACGCCTGAAATTTTCACAATTTATGTTGGATGTTTGGTCAACGTTGCATCCAAATCTTGCCCATTGCAGACAATATCTCCTTTCCAACAAAACAGTTAGACCTATAGACAGGGATGTCATTCTTAAACAATTACATGCAAATCCGGCCATAAACAAGACATTCTGTCAAATTTAAATGGCTGATCAATTTGTTATATTCATCTTTGGAATTATGATCAGTTGGACATTATGTTCTATTCACTGTTATTTAAGTTATTTATACCTTTGTTGGCACCTTTGTTGTTTATGTACAACACTGGATTATGTTCAGATTATTTTGTGCTTTTTTTAGGTCAACCTCTGACCTCTCCTATTGATTTTGAACTTACTTTATTATTTTGTATTCATCATTATGTACAAGTTTTGTTATTAATGTTTCATTTTATTGACCCCAGGAAGAATAGTGCTTTTAAGCACTAATGGGGATCGAAATAAACAAACAAACAAACAATATTATGGGTTTCACGCAGACGCAGCACATGATTGTACGTTCTGTGATTACACTGAAACTGAAATAGAAACTGTTGAATATTTGTTGGCAACAGTCTTTAGAGTACAATGTAGCTAACAATGAGTTTTGCTAATGAGTCACCACTGCTCAATACTTTCCAGAATCATAACTGAAGACAGAGCTGTAGCTTCTGTAAAATAACAATTATTCAACTTTAGTTAGTATCTGATCATACACTTCAAAGGAAAAACAATGTTTAGATTTGAGTTGGCTTTTTCTTGGAAAATACAAGTGAGACTCACGATTGTCAATATATGAAGACTAGGGCTGCGTACCGGTCCAGGTGGACTGGTATGGACCGGAAAAACAGTATCGGTCCGGTCCGAAAAAACCGAAACGTCGGTGGACCGGTTTTTGGACCGAAACAAAAATTCATACTTGATCACTACACACAAGGAGGCCTGCCAGGAAAATGAACATCCAGCATTAAAATAAAGAGATTTACCTTTAGTCAGTTGTCCCATGGTTCAGTAAGTGTGGGTCACTAAGAGGGTGACTGAGAACTAGTGAGAAGTGAGATAGGAAACCTAGTTATATCATCCATGGTTATACTTATATTTGATGTTCTTTGAAAGATACAGGACAAATTGTCAACACTTTATTCATATTTCTGTCATCATCGAAGAATTTCAGTAGAACAATTGTGACGCGCGTGAATTTTCAGGTACAGGTACAGGTCCGGACCTGGACCTAAACCTCTGTACCTGTACCTGTACCTGATGTTACGAAAAGGTACGAAGCCCTAATGAAGACTGAAACAAGTTTTTTTTCTTGTGTATGCAGTATGAGTGCTTCAGCTCAGCCATCCACGGCCGTATTCTTGACCTTGAGGTGACCTACGCGAGCTGGGAGAGTCGTCAGGGTGAGAAGATGGACTACTGGGCGGGGGCTAGTCCCGGCAGTGGCAAGTGTGCATGTGGGGAGACAGGTGAAGTCATCATTACCTCATTATTTCAGAGGCGTTCGTGTGTGTGTGTCTGTCTGTGTGTCTGTAAACACGATAACTTGAGAAGGCTAAAATGGATTGACTTGATATTTGGTATAAGTGGGTAGGTCTTGATGAGACCTCAAAATGATCAGATGTTGGGCCCCCTAGTGGCTTCTTATGGTACCGCAGCTGACATAGACATACTAGAGTCACGAAATTTGAATGATAGGACTGGTACCTCTTCTCATGGGGAAGAAGTGACGTGAGTTTGGGCCCCCTTGCTACTAATATATTTCATGCAAATGAGGATCTATTTGCATAATTAGGGGGAGTAATCTATAATTTGCCAGTCATAAAGATTAACATCATTTGGCGAAGGTATGAGATCGTGGAACTCTAGTTTCCATTGTTTTTGCTCCAGAAAAATTAGTAATCATGATGGTACAAACCAATTCAAGGATAATATATAGTGACTGGTTTGATTGCAACTCACTTTACAAGCAACTCTCAGTGCATTTCATTAGCCAAGATGCAATGCAAAAACCCATCTATTAAACTTACCCATAGTTCGGACTCTAAATTAAAAATTTGTATGTAGTAATTGTACAATACATGTTGAAGGGCCCTTGGACAGTACTGTAGATTTTTCCAGCGCATTTTGGGGGGGGGGGTTCACAATCCTTTCGCTGGATTTTTCTAAAAAGCATTTTGCAAATAACTGGCAACTATACTAGACATGTAATTCTGAAACATGGTTCATTATTACAGGGCTCAAAATACTGGGTGTATATGCACCTTAGTGCAGGTAAAATTGGAGCTGTGCAGGTATTTCTGATGTCTATTAAGTCTTGCACCTTGTACTGGTTCACGTACTGGGTTTATATTTAGGTGTATGTGGATTTTTATTTGCTACATTGACTCTTACCACCTACGAAGTATAAAAGAAATAATGGCAATGATTTCTGAACAGTTTTTAGTATGATCCATGCAAGTCTGAGAGGTTCAGGTAAATTTGCAGTCTGGTGCAGTTTGGTACCTTGCAGGTATGCAGAAAAAAAGTACCAGTATATTTCAAGCTCTGTACATGACTGTTTTTTCCGCACACCCTTTAGGCACCTGCGCCAAGGCTAACCCACGCTGCAACTGCGATGTCAACGACAAGCGCTGGCGTGCTGACGAGGGTTACCTGACAGACAAGGCCACGCTGCCCGTGTCACGTCTGAACTTTGGCGACACCGGCCACGAGTGGGAGCAGGGCTACTACACCCTGGGCAAGCTCGAGTGCACAGGCTACTAGCTACCAGCTGACAGGGACAAGTATATAGTAGGGACGGGTTAGCCTCCGTAGCAGGCTTATAGAACTGGGGGTTTGGTGGTCTTCGGCTGTTTTCTGATTAGCCCAGTTCTAAAAAAAACGGGGGTAATTCAACCAGGCCGGCTATGTTGTCTATATGCATTCAGAAAATAGCACACAAAAGCTCCCGAAGACCCTGAAGACCCCCAAACCACCCAGTTTTTGGCAATTGCTATGGAGGCTAGGGACGGGTGCTGGCCACCATTTTTTATTCAGAATTGGCTGATTGAAGTTAGATTCAAATGATGCCAATCCTTTTTATTGTGTATCACGAGGCAATTAACATTGTTCATCAAAATACACTGCTCACTCTGATGCAGACCAAGGCCACTATTAATATATTATCTTCCAATAAAGGACAAGCTGTATGCTCAGTAATGAATACAGTTACAGCATTTGACTTGTAATTTTGTTTGTTATCAATATGAGGGACTGCAGCTATATGTTGTACTTACTAACAACCTTTATTAAAAGTTGAAACTAGCAAAAATTGGTTGAGTTTGTCTTTTTTTTGTTTTATCTTATATGATGACTGAACAAGACTGCACAGTATAGGTTAAAGTACGTAGAGATATGCAACAAGTAAAATCTGAGATTTTATACCTTATATGGGCTTCTTATTGTATATTTTTATAATTATGTAATTTGTTATGTATAGTTGATGGTGTTGAATTTTATGTGTTAGAGAAGATGCATGTGCACAACAATTGTTGCACGCCGCAGGACTAGGGGTTTAAACAAAGAATTTATCAAGACCCGACACCCCTATTTGCGAGGGGTCATATACGTAGACCAGACAGAGAATAACTTAAACACGCCAAAGGTCAACGGTCGCGACCATTTTCACACTCAAAGGGGTGTCCTGGGGCCACCAAAAAGCACCATTTTCACGCCTGAAAACACATATACAATAAAAACAAATAAGGTGCATTATCTACAGCCTTATAGCAAAAAAAAACCGAGTCCCAAAAACATCCGTCCACCCAAACACGAGAAACAGCTGTGAACAAAATCTAAATCTCTCACAAAACCCTTCCGCGGAAGGATGTCTCCTCCCCCGGAGGTAACTAGGTTGTAACGGTTATCAGTGAGTAATACTATGCATTCCTAATATTATGTCATTTCTTCTGGACTCCCAATTTCATCTGCTCCATTTACTTAAGGACAGTAGAGTCAGCAATGCAGCAGATAAAAAACATTTAAGTCCTTTCTGTATAAGGCGGTGCATAGGGTGGTGCCCATCTCCATTTCTGTAGCCCTTGGACCACACAGTATGTATAGTGCAATCACGACAGCAGGGGCCTACTTTAAGTCCACTGGTATGTGGTGTGTGTTTAACACTCTTTCTCAAATACTGAGTGCTAAGCAGAGAAAGCTCTATGTACCATTTCTAAAGTCTTTGGAACGACTTGGCCGGGGATCAAACTCACAACCTACCGAATGCAAGGCGAACGCTCTACCAACTTGGACATCAGGGCTCAAAATTAGCAGTGTCCCGATGGCCTCTGACCACTAAAATTCTGGCCGGGACAACTATAAAGACACTTTGGGACATTTTAGGGACAATAGAAAAATAATCCACCACAGAATGTCAGCCCTTCTTTCGTTCACCAGGCACACATCCGGCTCCGGAAAAGTCCCCTCAAATTTCCTATTTTTGTCATACAAAAGTCATACAATACTTCCAAAAAACAGGTTGGGAAAGTTCATCCTCACTTCAGGACAGTTGAAATTAATATAGGGACAGTGCTGGGACAATAGGAAGATAAGTTTAATTTTGAGGTCTGGGTCATAAAAGAATAACACAGGATAATGTGTTCTAATGTGACATGAACAAAGAAGATTAATGTGAGTCTCTAACCTTAGCAAGTCCTCCCTGTTGTTGAAGATCTTGGTTGGTCGGTTGATAGCGAAGTTAGGGTATGTCACCTTCCCCATCTTCACCATTAGGATGGTTTGTCTGCAATGAAAATAAGAACATTCTGTCTTAAAGTGCCTATACGACACTAAAATGCAACATTTTCTGCTGCATTAAAAAATATAGTGTAACTCAATCAAGATTTTCACCAAACATACACACTTTTGAAGGTACATGTACAATATATTAAACATCAAACCATACTTCCAGCTCATGCCAGCTAGATTCCTGCCACCAGGTAATTCAATTATACATTAGCTGTATGGTTACAAATGTACATCACAATGACCATGGCAGTCAGTTTGGAACCTGGCAAGAAATATTGTTTTGAGAAGCAAACAGTGCTTACATAGTATAATTAACATAATTACATATAGCAAACAAAGATAAAATTTTGTAGTCTTGCATATATTAATCATAAATGATTATAAGCACTGTTTGGTTTTCAAAACAATATTTTTTGCCAGGTTCCAACTACACAAGCCTATCTCTTCCAATGGGTTGTTTTGCATAACCGCCTATAGTATAGATATCAAATACCAGTTTTGAACAGTGAGTACAGGCTGCATAAGACCAGACTTACATAATTAAGATTTGAACAACTCACACTGGAAAGGACCCCTACTCTATATTTCCTGACATATTGATGTGTGTGGTGGTTTGTAGCACATTTAAACTTAAACTCTGTTATCAAATGTGGTGTCCATTTACTACTAATAAGCACTACTGCAGAATGAGCAAGCTGTGCATTATAAGTTAGTGGGGTGGGATCTTTAAGGTGCCTCATGGTATGGCCCTCCTCAAACACAGGACCTTCAGCTGAGAGGAATGCTCCTAACTGAAGTTAGGTACTCATTTATACCTGAGTTAATTGTGATAATAGGTGTAAAGTGCCTTTTCCAAGGACACAACAATGGGGCCTGCCAGGGATTCGAACCCAGGACCTTCGAATTTCTTCGAGTCAACAACCCTAACTACAACACCACCTTGCCACCAATTGTTAAAAGCTGGAAGAGTCAAGACTTGTACAGAACATGTCTGTTGACTGACTTACAGCTGCTGTTGACCCCCACTGCCCTTCTCCTCCTCCTCTGTAGTGCTGGACAGGTTAAAGAGGAGCAGTACTCTGGTGAAGACTGCCCGTGCTTCTCTGGTCAGTCTTACACAGCCTCCAAGTAGCTTCCTGGCCCTACAGTGAAACATAAACATTTTGGCATTTAAGAAATCTCTTGTTAGAGCCACTTTCAGTAGATTCACTGCCCACTACATACAGCTCTGACGTTCCTTGCACATGGTCCATGTCATGTGGGTGCGCCTCCTGCACGGCATTACGACCTCACTAGTGTTGCCACACAGTTTTTAACCATTGATATTTTTGTAAATATTACTTGTGTATATACCTTGAAATTGCATTGTACAGTTTTTTATGTTTAATGTATTATACTTGATGTTGATGTACAATATTTGATGTTAATGTTGTTCATTACTGCAATTTGTTTTGTATTTAATAAATGTAATCTGTAGTTATATTCTGTATGTTGTGTTTGGGAGGACAACTTGTAAAGGTGTCAATGCACCTGTTTTGTCCTCCCTTCCACTTGTATATCTTGTGGTAAATTCAAATAAACAAATAAACAAAATCCGGGGCTCGAAATTAAAGGTGGTCCAATGGCACTGATAAATAAAATTTAGGTTGGAACAACTAAAAAGACACTTTGGGACATTTTGGGGACAATAGAAAAATAATCAACATCAGAATGTCATGTCAGCCCTTCTTTTGTTTATCAGGCACTCGTCCTGGCTTTTTGATCTGGAAAAGTCATCCGAATTTCCTGTCTACTCTGCAATTATAGTGTGTCTGCATGGGAGTGAACATAAGCAAAGTCATACAATACTTACCAAAGAACAGATTGGGACAATTCATCTTCACTTTGGGACAATTGAAATTTATTTTGGGACAGTGCTGGGACAATAGGAAGATAAGTTAATTTGGAGGCCTGAAAATCATGCAATAATCCTCTTCATCCTTACATTTTTTGCTGGGTACAATTTGGTTGCATTGTTTGAGCATAAGGAGAAGGATGGTGTTTGAGACTGTCACATTTTTTTTTCAAAAACTAGTCCTCTGAAAAAAATGTTGTGTTCCCTGTTTCAGTCCTAAAAAAATTAGGGTCGGTAGGTAGGGATTTTCTTTTTTCTTCTTCTTTTTTTAAACTTTGGTGATCTCTGGTGATCCACCTTACACAATACGGTTTATCAAAAGTGAAGCTTGCATGAGGAAACTTATAAATATATATAATGTTGGAAAACTGATTGTACATTATGTTTCATCATACTGGTGTCAGATCATGGAACTAGAAAATGCCGTTCAGCTCGAAAAAACTTGCTGGGATCCACCAGAAAAAGTCTAGGGTCGGCAGCTTTTTCTAGGGTCGGTCGGGAAACAGGAAACACATTCAACATTTATTTTCCTAGGCCCTACTGGTAATTCTGAAAAGACTTTTAAAAATGTCTCAATCAAATTATCACTTTCTATAGTATAGCCTATGCGTCATCTGTTCTTGTACCCCCCCCCCCCCAAAAAAAAAACAGTTAGCATGTACAAGGAACCACATTACCATACGGATGGCACCCGGGCTATCATAAGCATGAAAACACAAGATATTATAATTATTTATCATATAGCCGGGTGACGTTGACCAATCAGAAGGCTCCATTCCACATTCCTTATGTCGCCGTAATGTCACCAATAGAGTCAAAATCGGGTATTTATTCATCCAAATCCATACATTAAACAAACCCAATAATCACCCGCATATGACCTCAGGTGACCCAATAGAACACGGCTCTAGTTCTAAAAAATCCAAAAATAACTTGAGTTGTGTTCCAATGACTCTCATAAGAACACCTGTTCCCTGCCTGTGACCCAGTTAACCTGAACTCTACCCAGTGACCTCAAGTGACTCCATATGGAACTATGTTCTATGTTCTATTCAGTATGTGCAACGGGTAAATTGTACATTGTGTCACTTACTGCATCAGTTTGGATAGGCTATCGTGTAAGCTATATGATAATAGCGTTAATGGCCCGCCCTTTCTTGGTGAATATGGTGTGATAAAGCCTTGTCAGTTGCTATAACCACCTCATGCCACCTCGTTCGCTGCGCTCACTTGGTGGCTTTATTCTGTGGTTACAGCAACTGACAAGGCTTTGTCACACCATATTCACCTCAGGGCGGGTCATTAACCCTTAAATAATATATGAAACTGGGTAGCGACAAAACATACCTTTTGAGTATCATGGCTGATCCATCTCCAAATATGGTCCTTTGTACCTTTCCATGGTTGAGGATGGACTGTACCAACTGTGCTCTGGGGAGGGAGGTGGTGGGGATATGGAGGGACTTGGCTAGAGTCTTCAGGTCAGGAGCTGAGAGGTGCTGCAATACTTCCGTCACTTCTGTCAAGTCACGTTCTAAAGACATGGAATGAAGATACTTGATGGACTGGATAAACCTTTACTTATTATATATTAATAACATTAATGTAACTAGTGGTGAATCTCTATGCAATGGTCGAAATACTTTATGTTCTGCAATATCGCAGAATGTCACTGTGACAATATTGTTCTGCAATTTGAAAGTACTTTCTGCAAATATACACTTTTAAGCCCTGACTCAAATGCATACAAAATTGCATGTTGGCAAACATTTTACATGCTATTAAAAATACATGCATAACTACATTGTAGTATATCATTTAGTCAGTAGTAAGCACAAAAGCTCCTAAACAATAATATATCATTCAGACACAATTGTATCCTGATTTTTCCAGTCTGCAAAATTGCAGGTTGCTTAATTTTTCTTCTGCAACATTGAAAATTTCTCTGCAAAATGCAAACTGCAGATGGGTATGTCTAACACTGCTATGAATTGTGCAACATTCAATCAATATCATCATCAATATCGAATAAAAAAAATTATGAAAAAAATAGAATCCTGACTGTCTGATGCTAATTTTTTCAAGACTGAAACAGGAAACACAACATTTTTCCTATCTAGGCCTAAATAAAGTAGATGACAACTCTTAGTCTTACCATTCTGTAGGAACCCTTCCCTCACTAACACTTGGCACACTGGCTTGAGGTCCTCAGCAATCTCTGGATACTGCAGTTTCTCCTGTCGATGCCAGGAGAACTTTCTCTGGAACAGCCGGACATACAGCTTCTGTGCAGCCTCTGGTGTAAAACAACATGGAATATATTGTTAGTAACTGCTTTTTGGCGTAATATATTGTTAGGCCTAGGAAAAATAAAGTTGTGTTTCCTGTTTCCCGACCGACCCTAAAAAACCCTGCTGACCCTATCATTTTTTGTGTGCAAGAAAAATAACCTTTTTTTGAGCTGATCAACTTTTTCTAGGACCATGACCTAAAACCTAATTATAAGTGATAAAACATTGTACAATCGGTTTTTAGACATTGACGTTGAAAATGAAAGTGTCCTCATGCAAGTTTTAGTTTGTTAAACTGCATTGTATGAGTTGGATCATTAGAGATCGCCAAGTATACGCTGATTTAAAGGAATCCGATAGAATATCAGGGTGGCAACATATTCTGGATGAGGAAATCTGTCTGATATTGACATTCACATCAACATTTCGAAGCACATTTTTGTCATCAATTCATGCTTGAAGCATTTAAAATGGGCCCAAAATACTGCCCATAAATTGCTAGAACAATTCTACAATACAAAATCGTAGGATTAATTTTTCCATCAGTGACATTGTTTTCCATCAGTGACATCGCACGTTTGCCTCAAACATATCATTTCAAAATGATATAGGGTTGATTCAACTTCATCATCATCATCATCTTCATTACCCCCAGATAACCACGCGAGGGGTGCCGTAAGGGGGGGGGAGAAGAGGTCAAGGCTAAGGCGGGCAGGCCGCCAGCCCGGCCCGGAACGACTCAACATTGGGAGCCATGACTACCGGGCCGGGTAAGGAGTTCCACTGTGGAATGGTACGGGGAAAAAAAGAAAATCTGTATGTGTCAGTGCGTGTGTTAATGGGCCGATATTTGAGTGAATGACTCCCTCGGGTACGCCCGTGTGGGCTGCAAAAAACTGCCGATTTGGGTATTCATTGCTACAATGTTATGAACTATTTTAAAAAATGTTGTGAGGCGGGCGCTCCTCCTCCTTTCGGAGAGAAGAGGCCAACTTAGTACATTACAGTAAAAGAATGACCAGAAAATTTACTTTGAAAATCCAGTTGCACTGGATACAAAGTTTTTATGTTTACCAAAGGAAAACATATTGTTTTTGCTACGTTTCTTCTTCTTCTTCTGTTCCAAACACTAACCTCTGACCTGGCCAATGACCTGATTTGTTGACGTCTGTCACCATGGTAACTGGTGTTGGGTTTACATAATGTTGCAATTTTATAGTAGGAGGGATTCATACTCTTGTCTGACCACATACTTATATGAATGTATTTGAGTGAAGAATTAACAGAGCAGACCATATGCAAAGGTAAACATTATGCATTTGCAAACGTTATAGTTAATCTTACCATCCATTTCCCTGAAGGCCTCTACATACTTCATGTCTTCCTCATTAAACAAGCTCCTGTCATCCTCATTGTCCAACACACTGGACAGAACTGTGGTGAAATTCTGTAGATAATACGGCACTCTTGGTCTTTCATTTTTGCTGGAGTCATCTACGAAATCTCCATTGACTGATGAAGCATTATTGGCACTGGAATCTATGATAGAGTCTTCCACGAATCCTTGTGATTGACTAGAAGTGTCTTCTTCTGTCAGAGACGACTGACTTTTGTACACATCGAAACTTGTACTCTCCATTGAAGACGTGTCTTCGCCTACAAGACTTGTTGCACTATCTTCTCTTGAAAGTTCATCTTGAAATCCATCTTGAAGTTCTTTGATACTATTGTCACTTGACATAGCAGAATTTAGATCAGTATTGTATATGTCACTTGTTTGTGAGCTTTGAAATAAGGCCATTTCCTGGGCAAGGTTTTCATCAAAATTTGGGAGCAGCTCCTTGGCATCTAAGTACAGCAAGTGGGCACCCATATTTGGCAATGGCACGATTTTGTAGTCTTCCATCTTTGCATTTCGCTGAACACTTTCTTTTTCTACTGAAACAGAATGAATTTGTAAGTTCTGGGCTTCCTGATACTGGTCAACATTAGCTATTTCTTTCTTTACAACAAGTTTAGTTGTCTTATTCCTACGTTTGCCTTCAGCCGGTTTATCAGCCCTAAATTTTCTCGACAGCTTTGAAATTTTCTTACTCATAGATGCTAACTTTTCGTCATCAATACTTGGCCTTCTTGGAGGGTCGGTTTTCTTGAAGTAAGGGCTAGTGGAACCCATTGGTTCGCGAGTCCTGTCTGTTGCTGATTGGTCGGTATTTCCTTCACTACACTTGGGGGAAGCTGACAAACTTCCCATTTCCGTATCACCTTCAAAACTGTCATTATAGTCTTTCCTTTCAACCTTCTTCTCAAATGCGGCGTCTGCACATTTTGCATCGGCGTGTGCAGCACTACTTTGTGAAGCTATTTGCCTGCTGACATCTTCAGACTCTGCGCCCTGTAGGCAGCCATTGTCAAGGTGACTGTTCATCCAAGATATCGGAAGCTTCTTGTCACAAACTGGACAGTGTGCAAAAGTTGGAGTTTTTTGCCTCGCGAATGCTGACATAATGGAGTTGTTTGAAGTGCTACTTGAACTTGAAGGCTTGGATGGCACAGTCTTCTTGTCAGTGTCCTCCATTTTCGGCCTCTTGTTGGTCTTCCTTGACTTGAGCGACAGTCGTTTTCTTGGGACCTGCCCATCTTCTGACATGTTGATTTATTATAATACTGGAAATCAAAGGAGAATATATATAATTTTAGGTTAGTCGTAGAAGTATCTACCAGTATTTTATACATACTAGAAGAAGCTACCATAGTCGCTAGGGCTACTAAATTCAGGTTAACCGAATTTTACATAGCCTGGATGCCAGACCCAAAGCACACTGGACACAAAATATCTCAGTGTGCTTTGGGTCTGGCATCCAGGCTAAATTTTACAACATTAGTGCGATAACATAATTAATTTAACATTGATTGATAACGTTAACGTTTTACAGGCAGTGTCTGATTTCAAAATACAACACATTACTATTAGGTTAGGTTGACAAAAAGTGCACTGCCTCACTACAAGGAAAACTGGTATTCCATTTTTTAATACACAATTGCGATTATTCATAAATTACTAAAATAAAAAACCCTCCCCCCATGTGCAAATCCGACCTGAATCTATGCATAATATGGATATATAATATATACTACAACGAAAATAATGTGCACATTTTACACTGTGTGCCGCATCTTATGTGCCCTAAGCAATCTAATAGTTTATATCATACACAGTACCTTAGTATAGTTAACGTTAGAGTCTAACCCACCGATGAAACCTTACTGCAGTGTTACGACTTGCCACAACCCATCCCGCCGTTTTTTGAACTCTGACCGTGGAATATACCAATGAAGAGAGGGGGGTTTCATCTACTGCTAAAAAAACAGCATTAACCTCTTTAAGATTAGCAAAGATACATACATCGACATCAAGTCAGAAGTTGTAGAGATGTTCAACCATCGTAAATGATAGTTCTCCATTTTCCAATTTTTAAAAATCAGATATTAAAAGTACTCGCGATTGCGACAAGAAGTGGGTAATCGGGGATAGATTTTCGGGTCACCTAAGGTCATCCAGGAAATCGGCAACGTGTTGTGTGGGCATGTAGATTTCAACAACAGATTTCAGCTGTCCTATTAAACACGGAATGGAATATTTGGAGTGGTTGATCATGAGTTAGTTTGTTCCCATTAGATTAGAAGAGGAGGTACTGCTGTTGAAGCTATGGAGGACTTGAAGAAGAGACTGGAGTTTGCGAATCCAGCCATTCAGAACCAGGTATGCCCTCCCCCCCCGTATCAGTTTTGCAGCATGCAGCAAATATTATTAATACTAAGTAGTTTAGTGATTTATTTACGTGTTTAGCATAACTATGCAAAACTGCCTCATATCAGGAAATACATGTAGAAGTGACCTCTATAAACTATATGTACAGTCGCATATAAACATGCATACAATGAAAAATCAATTTTGACATGAACGTTTGAGTTCAAGTTTTATTCAGATCCACAATTAGCCTCATAAGAGGCTATTCTTCCTGCGGTCTACACATCGTTACTTGTTTATTTGCAAATGAACATAACTGTTATATAATGTTAACGATATATAACATAATAACATTACATGATCATGTAATAATTTGTTTTGAAATTGTTGTCATGCAGGCAGTGGCCAGGTTGTACCAACAGGTGGTTACAAAGAAGGGGAAAACAGAAATCAATGCAGGCACACCTAAGGTAACATTACGCATTTGAACCTTAAGCACAAGCTAAATATTACAGTTAAACTTTCCCAAGCCACCATCTCTATAAGCCGGCCATCCTGATTTTTCTTCCCATAGACTTGAGCATTAAGGGACTTAGATCCGAACTCCAATTCGACCGTGACTGACAATACTAACGGGGGGTGCCCTAATTCCGACCCATCCCTAGCCTAATACCGAACTAGTTTGAAAAGTCCTTGTTGCGGCGTCATGCATAGGAGCACTGCCTAAAAATAACCACGAGAATGGACAATGTTTTTGTGTTGATATCGGTAATCTCACAAAGTTTTAGTTCGTACACAGTCTGACAACAGACGAGTGAAAAATCTGTGTGAATTCGATGCTTGTTCGGGGGTTGACGAGCGTGTCAAAAATGCAGGTTTTGCTTTACAGACAGTCGCTTTGGAGCAAGTCGCGTAATCGTAAAAAGAAGACTTGTTTGGGACAGAAAACAGTTGTAGATTGCTTTAGTCATAACTTGTGTACTAGCATTATAATTTGTAAACTCTCTTCTCAGATCGACCTGTGTTAAACGCTAGGTCGGAATTAGGGCACCCCTGTTGCGATAGAACGTTCCACCGGCAAATGACCAAAAACCTGCCGTAAGTTTCGCGAACCATTACACTTGGGTGAGGCGCTACACTCAAGTGAAACACACAGCTGTGCAGCTTTAATCGTTGTGATCTTTATCTGTCAATATTACATCTCATGTTGCGCGGGTTTTTGGTCAGATAAACTATTACCAAAGGTATGTGCGTTTGCATGGAACATAGGTCGGAATTAGGGCACCCCCCGTTAGTATTTGGGACTGCACTTGGCCCTGGAAATCTCTACCTATGACTAACAGCATCGTTTTCAATCAGAAAACATTTTTGTTAATGACAAGTAGCGAGAAATTTAAACAAAATTGCCCAGTTTTCCACAGGATTCACACGTACATATTTCAATCTGTGTTTTCCTAAAGGCAATATTACGCTGAAGTTTAGGAGTGATTGACCTTTAAATGTTACAACTAGAATATTTTCATCATGTTGTCTTCCAATACAGTGCAATTTTACGGAATGTATTATACAGTGAAATTTTATGGAATACAGTGCAATTTTATGGAATACAGTGCAATTTTACGGAATGTATTATACAGTGCAATTTTATGGAATACAGTGCAATTTTACGGAATACAGTGCAATTTTACTAGTATACAGTGCAATTTTACGGAATACAGTACAATGGTATCAGTATACAGTGCAATTTTATGGAATACAGTACAATCGTATGAGTATACAGTGCATTTTTATCAAATACAGTACAATTGTATTACTTTTTAGTATACAGTTCAATTTTGCAGAATACAGTGCAATCGTATTAGTATACAGTGCAATTTTACTAGTATACAGTAAAATTACACTGTATAATATTAATAATACGATTGCACTGTATTCCGTAAAATTGCACTATATACTAATACAATTGTACTGTATTCCGTAAAATTGCACTGTATTCCACAAAATGGCACAGTGACTGTATGCTGTAAAATTGAACTGTATACTCTGGACCCCTGGTTACAGACATTTGCCACCTGTTTTATTATTATTATTATGGGTTCACCACAAAGTGGTGAAACCATATTGCTTTTTCTCATGATTCTCCTCCTTCTTCTTCTCCTCCTGCCATTTCTTTAAATGGATTCAGCTTCTTCATTTTGAGGCCTAAGGACCTGAAATTTGGTATGGAGGTACAGTAGGCAAATACCCCCAGGCGTTTTTTTAATTTTTGTGATACAGGATTTTAGAATGGTTTTATTTGAGTTTTTTGGCTGTGTTATAGCAAATGTATTACTGAGTTAGTGTGCAGTGTTACCACATTTGGGCATGAGTCATCACAATGGAATGCAGGGCATCAACCAATAGGCATGCAGCTTTCCTCTATTCTCCTTGCTGATTGGCTGTTGGAATTTAACAGGCTTAACTTAATTAATACCTGCACAGAGCCATTCCATACTGACAGTAGGTCTGTATTCAAGTGTTTTGGTAGGTATTTTAAGCTTTCCTGCTCCAGCATTGGAATGCGGGGCATGAACGCTTCTTTTTTCTTGAAAATCAACAGTTTGCATTATGCAATTAAAAATCCTAACCAATAATGTAGGGAATAGCTATCCAACTGTTGTAGTCTTAGTTGTATGTTACTTCATACTATAGTTATATCAATGTAAAGCATTGTTTTCCCTTGTGTTTCTAATTCTTTCCCTGCCATGTCGTAAAATGTGGTGAAGCCATTGCTGTATTTGCTCCAAAGCAAATGTCGGCCTTTCTAGTTATTATTATTATTATTATTATTATTATTATTATTATTATTATTATTATTATTATTATTATTATTATTATTATTATTATTATTATTATTATTATTATTATTATTATTGTTGTCGTTGTCGTTGTCGTTATCATTATCATTATCATCATTATCATTATCATTATCATTATCATTATCATTATCATTATTATTATTATTATTATTATTATTATTATTATTATCATTATTATTATTATTATTATTATTATTATTATTATTATTATTATTATTATTATTGACAGATTGCGGAGCTGTCCCTTCTGTGGGATAAGAGCACTGATGCTGACCCAGTTGTGAACTCAGCCTGTTCTGAGGCCCTGGTAACACTGGTGTACCAGCAACATGCCGAGTGGGAATATGTCCTGAACGGGATATTGAATATTGTGCCCTCTGGAAGGTACGTACATGTATGCTCTTATTTAAGTTTGTCATACTCGGATAGATATATTTATTAGTTGTAAGTAATATTTCTATATTCTGTAATATCTAATTTTCCAAAATCTATCTGTAGGATTGATGTAAACTATGTAAAGAACAGTTTTAGTCATTTTCTTACACACAACCAGGGATTTTTCCTACCTTGCTTTATAATGTTTACGAATCCCTGGTTGTGTATAAGAAAATCCCTGTATCCTATGTCCTACCAACTGGATGAAATTATTTTGGGGAGTTGACATATGAGATTCCAACATTAGAATAGAAGAACAACCCCAAAAATCACCAGTGTTGATGCCTCTTGAGATGACACCAATAGTTTAGACTTTCTACAATACTTTGCTCTGCTACCAGAGTTCCAAACTTAGATCGTCCATGATTATACATTGTGTACTTTACATGCACAGAACAACAAAACACTCGTTCTTGGTAGGGCAATCAATCATAGAATCAAAGTTGGAACAAGTATTCAAGTTAAACATTGCAAAATACAACCATCACACCATCAATAACAAAAAATTATAAATTGTAAAATAGTTACAACACTACAACTTTAAATGAAAAAAAGGAACCATAACTTATTTTGAAACAGATTCAGTATTGATGCCTTTAAAATGAAACTTTACATCTTTATACTTTCTACAGTACATTGCTCTGCTACTAGAGTTCCAGACTGAGATAGTCCATCATCATACATTGTAATTACTTTACACATAATGATTGAACACTCTTTCCCTGTTCTTGGGCAATCATTAAAGTTGGAACATATAAATTCTAAGATTTTATATCTCCGGGCTTTTAATTGTATACTTTTATGTTGTTTGTTATGTATAGTTGATGGTGTTGAATTTTGTGCACAACAACAATTGTTGTGCGCCGCAGGACTAGGGTTTTAAACAAAGAATTTATCGAGACCGGACACCCCTCTGTGCGAGGGGTCATATACGTGGACCAGACCGAGAATATCTTCAACACGCCAAAGGTCAACGGTCGCGAGCATTTTCACGCTCAAAAGAACGTGCATCATCTACAGCCCAATAGCAAAACATACACCGAGTCCGAATAAAATTCGTCCACCCAAACGCGAGAAACAGCTGCGAGCATGAAAATCTAAATCTCTCACAAAACCCTTCCGCGGAAGGATGTCTCCTCCCCCGGAGGTAACAACTATTAAAGTTAATATTTGCAAAATACATCCATGACATTCTCCCTAATAAAAAGGTAAAGATTCTGAAATAGTTACGACCACAATTGTTACAATACTACAGCTTCAAAATGAAAAACCACAGTCGATATTACTTGTTCAAAATCACATGAAATTTGGAATCTACCATTATAAGCAACCAACTTTGAGCTTGAAAAGTACACAAGCTACTATTAAAACTGTACATAACTTTCAAGAATTGTAACTTACAAGATTATAATTTAAGTTAGAATGTTTTTAGTATCTGGTGTCCTGCCTACTTGCTACAAGAAATTTTTAAGTTAAAAATTTCATGTGTTCAAAATTCACTAAATTCTTTTGAGAAAAAAAATTTTACATTCAGGATAAATCAAATTAACAATGATTGAGCAAGTTCATTCTATCCATCCCTAAGTTTCTTGCCTTTACTGCAAAGTGTGCTTTCCAGCAGAGGGTATGTACGTGTTCTGGGTACATGTACTATGTTCTAGTAAAGGACAATTAACTTAAAGGTAATAACAAGTTACTAAATGCAGTGCCTGACTGCTTTCTGGCCAGACGTTTATTCAGGCCACACGAATTTGATTTTGTAGGATCAAATATTTTAGGTGTTTTGCATAAAATGATAATATAATGGAAAGTCTGAAGGGAAAGATCTGTACCTTAGTACCTATAGTTTACTGATTGAAGTGAAATGATCAATTCCTCCTAGTCCCAGATGTGTAGCATCTTTACATGGCTGTGCGATCTTTATCCTGAAATAAACAAGCAACTTCCCAAAACATTTGGGACACTTAGTAGTGAGGGATGTGCTCCTCTTTGAATGTGGTAAAACTAACTTAGAAGACAATTGCAAAAGTGTGATATAGCACTAATAGTTTTCACTTTGATGATACTGGCACTTGGCACTTGGTTATGGGATAGATTTCCAATGTTCAGGGATTGAATGTTAGCCTGGCCCTGCCCATTCTGAACACATAGGTTGTCAGTATCATCATACGGGTTATCATTAGCAATGGCCAATACAGAAACTGCTGTGTTTGTGTTACCACCAACAACATTGGGATTTAACCCTAAAGGGACGGACACCTGCTCTTTATCTTGTACCAAACTGTGATGGCGCCAATCAGGACTATCAGACCAGCTACTGGACCACAGACTGAGCCTATGAGAACAGGTATTGGGAAACTGGGAGCAGATTCTGGTTTGTTTGACGTGATTGCAAGGGGCGAAGTTGGTGTTGCTCTAAGACTTGTTTTGCCTGCAAGGCTTAAAGTTGAGTCTGGATCTGACATTGGGGCAGCATTGACCTTGAAGTACCAGTGATAGTGATAGTTGTGTGAGAATAATTGGATTTTAGCTATCCGTGTTGATGCGATTGGCTGGAGGGAACTGGGAGCTGATTCTGGTTTCTCTGAAGTGTTTGCAAGGGGCGAAGTTGGTGTTGCTCTTGTTTTGCCTGCAAGGCTTAATGTTGAGTCTGGATCTGACATTGGGGCAGCATTGACCTTGAAGTACCAGTGATAGTGAGAGTTGTGTGAGAATAATTGGATTTTAGCTATCTGTGTTGATGCGATTGGCTGGGGGGAACTGGGAGCAGATTCTGGTTTCTCTGAAGTGATTGCAAGGGGCGAAGCTAGTGTTGCTTTTGTTTTATCTGCAGGGCTTGATGTTAAGTCAGAGTCTGGTTTGGGGGCAGTATTGAACTTAAAGTGAGAGTTGCGAGAGATTGTTTTGCTTGTGTTTTCTGCGGGATTTGCTGTTGAGCCATCAGTGGTTTTTAAGACTGATGGGCTAGTATTGCTTTCTGTATCGCCAACTGAAGGTGTTGACACTTCAGCAGAACTGCTATGAACAGTGAAAGGTGATATGCTTGGCTCTTCACATATCAAATCTTTAGGATTGACACGTGAAAGCTTCTGTCCCTGAAGTTTGGTGGGTTGTTTACATGTTATCTGGTCGTTAAATGCACTATGCCTGAAGGCAACCATCCTACAGTCGCACTGCCAGGGGTTGTTGTTCAGGTACAACTTTAGCCGGGGTAGATTTGCAATTGTACCAGAAGGGATGGTAGTTATCTGGTTGTTGTTCAGGTACAACAATTTTAGCTGGGGCAGATTTGCAAATGTACCAGAAGGGATGGCATTTATCTGGTTGTTGTTCAGGTATAGCCATCGTAGCTGGGGAAGATTTGCAAATATACCAGAAGGGATGGTAGTTATCTGGTTGTTGTTGAGGTACAACAATTGTAGCCGGGGCAGATTTGCAAATATACCAGAAGGGATGGTAGTTATCTGGTTGCGGCTCAGGGCCAAATGATGTAGCTTGGTCAGATTTGCAAATATACCAGAAGGGATGGTAGTTATCTGGTTGTTGTTCAGGTACAACGCTTGTAGCTGGGGAAGATTTGCAAATATACCAGAAGGGATGGTAGTTATCTGGTTGTTGTTCAGGTATAGCCATTGTAGCTGGGACAGATTTGCAAATATACCAGAAGGGACGGTAGTTATCTGGTTGTTGTACAGGCAAAGCTTTTGTAGCTGGGGCAGATTTTCAAATGCACCAGAAGGGATGGTACTTATCTGGTTGCGGTCCAGGTCCAACTGTTGCAGCTCGGGCAGATTTGCAAGTGCACCAAAAGGGAAGATAGTTATCTGGTTGCCACAGAGTACCAACCTTTTTAGCTCGGGCAGATTTCCAAATGCACCAGAATCGATGGTAGTTATCTTGTTGTTTTGAAGGACTAAATATTGTAGCCCTGGCAGATTAGCAAATGTACCAGAAGGGATGGTAGTTATCTGGTTGCTATTCAGGCGCAACATAGACAAATTCTTATACCGTAATAGCTCAGACTTATTTACAGTTTTAATAAGGTTAAATATTAAATGTAACTGAGAGATGGATGTCGGGAGGTTCTGAGGGATGCTGGTGAGGTCTAGGTTGTTGCAGTTGCAGAATGATGATGATGTACAGCTGCAGCCAGCTTCTGGCATGTTGGGCTCCTTCAGGATGATGAGAAGGAAAATCAGCACGTGTCGCAGCTTTCTCCCCATGGTGTCCTACCACCTAAACAGAACGGCAAGATCCTCAGTAAGGCCACTCCAACTTTATGTTGGACCTCAAATTTTAAAGATAATGATAACTTGACTATAAACATAAGGTCCCAGGTTTAACTCTTGCTTTGTACAAGAGAAGAATTTTGTTACACTGACTCCAATTGTCCCCCCATGCATCTGTTTTTGTTTTAGCTCTTACTAAATTCTAACTTCCTCTGAAATTTCATAAGACAAAAAATTAGGTTCTTCCAACCGTTGGAAAACTGTGTGTTTTGCCCCCTTCTTTGCTACTGTGTATAAAATTATGGGGTTAGGCAAGGCTGAAACATTTATACACACACACACACACACACACACACACACACATATTTATATATAGCGCATTACAAATTACTGTGGCGCTATGCTGTACGTATGCTGGGGTGTTTCGCTCTGCGCAGCTCATTAGCTTAACAAAATGTCTCAGTGGACTGTCGGACACAAGGAGGGGTATACTGCCGGTATCAGGTAATAGGTTACGGCGTATTTTAGATTTGTCGCTTGGACTCGAGCTCCCAGTTATAAAAAATCCATGCCCCCATCCTTACAAAATGGTCCACTCCCGAAAATGCACCCAAAAAGCCCGTAAACTACCCCGCGGAGCCCCTGTTTCCAGTTATTATTTGTACATGTCAACTTAATTGTCTGAGATTTGATGCTTGAATATTGATATTGTGTACTCCTTCTTATATGTTCAGCAGAAGAGTAAAAATGGTATTCTTTTCTTTAAAAAGTCTTTCTCAAAAATCGTTTTAAAAAATTAGCAATAAGATGACTGTTTCTTACGTTTAACTCTTTTGAATGATACTGTTGCACAAAATCTCCTGGTAAACGTAGACTGGTAAGCTGTGTTTCCGTGATCATTTTGTAAAACCTTGTGTTGGTGAAATGGTCATAACATCAAGCCTTAAAACAGTTAAAGACTGTGGCTAAGGAAACTCATGATGGTTTATCTGTAATTCTGGTTCCAGCGAAAATTTTACCAATAGTGCCACGTCAGCAAATTAAACAATCATGGCGAAGCACCCCTGTTACTTCGCTTTCGTTAGCACTAACTTTTTCCCAAGCAGATATTGAGATGGAAATTTTCTGATGTCCACACTTCTCTGACAACTATCTACCATTGTCGTCAGTCAAAAAAAAATCTTCCCCCGCTATATCTAGTACTTATTAACATCAGATTGCCAGCCTAGCCTATGGGCGTAGGCCAGTGACAAACCGCCTACACAAGGCATTTTACCTGACATGTAATATATATACTCATACACAAACCTTTCAAGTTGTTCAGAATTTTAGGTGACACTTTTTTGACAGAGACTCTGGCACAGGTTGCTGTAACAGTTGTTCTTGTAGGGTGTGTCAGACTCCTTCTGTAATATCCGCAATGGCGTGTGACAAACAACCTGGGATCGGTCTTACGTAAATGGTGGCATTAATTGTCTGAAGCTGGCTATTTGAATATCATTAATATCTATGATTATGATGAAAATTCTAATCGTGATGCAGGTCCTGAGATGCATAATATTTGATTGCAACGTTGGTGCACTGGCTATGTTGAAGTAGTGAAAGCAGTGAAATGACAAGGAATCCATTTGGAAAATATTTTGTTGCTGTTCATTCCAATTATCTTTTGCAACAAGTGATGTGGGGTCGTGTGGCATAGCGGCAGAGTGCTCAACTCGGAACCAAGAGGTCCGAAGTTCGAGTCCTGACATGCCACAGATCTTGTGCCCTTGGGAAAGGCACTTTACACGACTTTCCTCACATAACTCAGATGAAAATGAGTATTGTATTGTCCCCGTGTTGGTGGCGGCATAAATATAAGTTGAAAAAACTTGAGTGTGCCGTCACCACGTTTTGTGATTACATCTTCAATATAAAAAGTGGCATCGTGTGGTGTAGTGGTACATCACTGGACTATGAAACGGGGAGACCCGGGTTCGATTCCGGGTCGTACCCGAACAAGTCCGAACATGCGCCCCGACGTTGTACCCTTGGGAAAGGTACTTTACATGTGCACGACTTTCCTCACTTCACTCAGGTGAAAATGAGTACCTAGCTTCGGTTAGGGGCGTCTTATCGGATGGGACGTTAAAATGGAGGTCCCGTGTTTGAGGAGAGACACACCTCAAGCACGTTAAAGAACCCATGTGAGCGGAAGTGGAACAAACCATTATGGTCTAAAAAGGGGTAGGGAATTTTCCCGACCAGCCTCGTAACCCCTGCTTCTCCTATTGGGTAAGTTAGTCCTCACTACTTGTGAGGATGTTTCTGACTCAGGGAGAAGAGTTGCTGTTACAGTTCTATATCTCTAGCTCTATGCCTAGAAGTGGCCAATGGCCTTGCATTGAGCGACACCGTTAAAAAAAAAAAAAACAAAGTCTCGGTACCTCATCAGTGGGTTGTAATAGATTTGTAATAGATGCTGGTATGCCTTGCCTTACCTTTACCTTTAGTAAGCTGACTTTATTTCTTTATCAATTAGGAATCTGACAGCTGTTCTGAAGGCTGTCTCTGACTTGCTGATACTCCAGGTGCTTCACTGTCTACAGAAGGATGGCTCCTACATCTGTCCATTTCAGATGAGGTAAATTGTAACAAGATGCCGGGTAGTACCGGTATCATGATTGTTCTGTGTTCTGCGAAAGATCTGTGTTGGTTATTACATGTTTGAAGTTAAACTTTTGTCCCAACACAAAGAGTGATCTCACCTCGAGCTTTTGACCTGTCACTCTGGTCTTCCTCAGTAGACTGACCCAGTGAGACTTGTCACATGGTTTCTCTATTATATAATATAATAAATAAGTAGGTTAACACTGGGTCAAAGTTATCTGCAGTGGTGAACGATGTCGGCTCCTATCGCAGTGAAATCTGACACATCTGTGTCTATAATATCACCAGGGTCCATAATATCGTCACCTTGACAAATACAATGTAGTGTGCTTAAAGATATTTTTACTGCAACATACCCTAGGTATGTACATTTGAGGTGTGCAGGAGTGCATACCAAAAGTATGTTGCAGTAAAAATATCTTAAAGCACACTGTTTCTCAAGGTGGCGATATTATGGACCCTGGTGATATTATAGACACAGCTGTTAAATAGCGTCCTTCACTCCTCTCAGGAATGGTATATACGGTAAATCCTAACTTGAAATGGACCCTTAATTCATTGGCAACGCTATATCTCGCCAATTTTCTTGTATGTGAATTAGGCTCAAATTCAGGTGACTATAATGAACATGTATATGCACCTGCTGCTGTATTTCAGGACCCCTCCCCACCCGTTTATCACCATTGTTGTGAACCGGGCCGACAGCTGGCCACTGATATTGGAGCAGGTTAGCTACCTCTTCAACCTGGGGGATCACAGGTGGGTGTTTTTATATGCATCATAATAACGACTCAAAATTAACCATGTCCCGATGGCCACTGGCCACTAAAATTTAGGCCGGGACAACTAAATAGACACTTTGGGACATTTTTGGGACAATAGAAAAATAATTAACATCAGAATGTCAGCCCTTCTTTTTGTTTATCAGGCACACTTCTTGGCTATCGGCTCCGTTGAAGCCCCCCCATCCCAGACATTTTCTGTCTACTCTGCAATTATAGTGCACCTGGGAGTCACAATGTAAGCAAAATAAAGCTGACTTCAGGTTGAAGTCATACACTGACTTCCCAGAAAACAGGTTGGGACAGTTCATCTTCACTTCGGGACAATTGAATTTTATTTTTGGGACGGTGCTGGGACATTAGGAAGAAAAGTTAATTTCGAGGCCTGTATAATTCTACTTGTCAATGAAATACTTGTAGTGCAAAGTGCTAATCAGTCAGAGGCTGCCAGTATCAATATACATGTACAGTATACGTGTAACATGATCTACAGCTGTAACCGAAATAGTGTCATCAACTGACAGCGCATTTGCACTTATTTGGACCCTGTTCACATTTTTAAAAATTGATCTGGATTGAGCATCAATCCGGTTAAATCCGGATCATTTCTTGCAGTGTGAACGCTCCAATCCAGATTGCTTTCTCCACAGCTCCGATCCATCTTTTTGTATCTTGTCCAAGGCTCCATTTCCACTAGCCTAGGATAAAATTTTCCAGATCAAGCCGAATTGATTTGCTTTGATCCGGCTTCAATAAGGCTTGATCCAGCTCAAAGCCAGATCAAAGTGAATCGATTCAGCTCATGAGCTGAAACCAGAGAATTTTATCCTATATATAGTGGGAATGGGGCCTAGGTTTTATGTCTGTGTTAATGTAAGTACTGCAGTTCAAAGTTTGATATCATGCCATACAAACACTGTTGACATGCAGTCTATTATATATAACTGTAGAAAGGCCAACATTTGCTTTGGAGCAAATGTAGCATATGGCGTCACCACAAATTTTGACGAGGTGAGGAAAAATAATATGTCTTCCACCACATAGTGGTGAAGCCATAATAAAAATAATGCATAATCTGTATGCCTTATTTGTAGGATCCAAGCCAAGGCACTGGCTATGTTGGAACCCTTCCTGAAGTATGTGTTCCTTGAGCCCTCCCACTCGGCACAGTACAGCCAGCTAAGACTGGGGCTGTGGAGGAGACTGTTACAGATATCCGACAGTGCAGATGTTGCACAGGCACAGGGCATTGATAACCTGTTGGTCGAACTCTTGCCATCCATTCAGGTAAGTTTCAACTCAACTGCAGTGACATTTTTATTATGTTTACCGAAGGAAAACATATTGTTTTTGCTCAGTTTCTTCTTCTCCAAACAGTGAGCTCTGCCCTGGCCAATGATCTGATTTGTTGACGGTTTTCACCATCATGGTTACATAATGTTGCAATTTCATAGTAGGAGGGATTTATACTCCTGTCTGACCATATGTATGAATGTGTTTGAGTAAGAATTAACAGAGCAGACCATACGCGAAGGTAAACATTGCATTTGCCTTGCAAATGTTATCTTTCTAGTTTCATTTTATTTCTGTGCCCAGGGATAACATATCACCACAAACCTTACAGTATTAGCCTAAGGATGGTTTTTAAAAAAGCATGTGCCCTGCAGGCATACATAAACAAAACATACAGAAGTAAAAAAAAAAGAAAACAAATTTAAGGCACAATCAAACTTTAAGTTAGTTAACTTCAGTGTTATCTATATAGGGGTCCAGCTTATACAGTACAGTTTAACCAGGTGATACTTGCATGAGGACACTTTATTTTCAATGTCAATGTTAGAAAACCAGTTGTACAACGTTTTATAATTCAGGTGTCAGATCATGGAGCTAGAAGGGGTTGATCAACTCGAAAATTAAATGTCCCTTGCAGGGGTCCACCACCAAAAAAAGTCTAGGGTCGGCAGGTTTTTCTAGGGTTGGTCAGGAAACATGGAACACAACTTACATTTTTTTTCCCTAAGCCTACATGTAACTGTTCTACTGATGCATTGACAGCATGTCGGCAGAACGTACTGCACCTGCACGAAATCTGTAGTATATTGTGCATAGCACTTCGGTAGAACGTCCCATATAAGTTCGTATTCGCGCATATAAGGTTAACATCCCGTCTGTACATGTAGTTTCCAAATGGTATGTTGGAAAATATATCTTCTGCAACAGGCAAAATTCTTAATATGCAACGTTGACCAAAAATCCAACGAAAACCGTGAAAAATCGGGGTTCTGCGCAGGCGCAGTACGTTCTGCCAATATGCTTGCATTGACTGTGTTTCAGCTGGAGCCCAGTTCAGCACTACAGGAGGGTCTGTTACAAGTGGAGGACCTGGTCACCCATCTGCTGAGACACAAGAGGGAGTTTGTGTATGGGAGGAAAACAGTTGCCTGTCACCTTCTAGTCCTCACACATGCTCTACTGGTACAGGGCAGCGACGTCACCTCCGTCTTAGACACTGTTCTCAAGATTGCAGAGGATGAACCTGAGGTAACATATATATAAGAAACATGACAGTGCTCCTCCCCGGGAACCATCAAATTATCATTAGGGATATCCATTTTACTGTGGTGGATTATCACACATCTAGTCAGTCAGAAAGGCATTCATTGGGCCACGTGCTGACTGTGCCTATTCATGCATCTGGTTCACACCTCCTTACAGAACGACTGAAATGTGTTGAAGTGATTAGGTTTATAGCCCATTGAAACTTTCGACTGCCGGCAGAGGTTGGGTTTGCTGGGAAAAAAATTCAGTGCAAAAGAGAAACCCCGATAAAAAAGCCTAAAAACATTCCAAAATGACCCCAAACCCAAACCTCTGCTTGGAGAGTAAATCAGGGCCGCAGCAAGTAAATTTTGGAATCAGGACGACTCGGACCATTACCAACTTGGCCCATCGCAAATTTGGTCAACTCGGCCCACCGCCCTGGTCAACTCGGCCCACCACCAAATCAACCATGTTGACTATGAGGTTTTTTAAAGTCCCAAACCGCCGGTGCTTGGACAATCAACATGATTTTATAGAGACCGCGTCTTTTAAATTTTGTCAGATAACTTCGAACTGTAGACTTTGAGGGTTTTTTAAAGTCAAAACCCGCCTGTGCTCGGGCAATCAACATGGCTTTAACCGAGACCGCAATTTTTTGTTAGACAACAAAATTAAACTATTGAATTGTTTGGCTATAAAACAGGATATAAAAATTCTAGTCATTCAGATACACGATACTAGGCGGATTAATTTGTTCACATTATTTTAGTACATTCTTACTTTGTTTCATGGCGATAGTTATGTGACTATTGTACGGATTACTTTTAAATTAGTAGAAATAGTATGTAATCGTAAGCCTTCAATTAACGTCGTTTGTTGAATAAGGAGTGGCGCTAGTTCTGTTCGTTATACCTGTGGAAAAAGAAAGAAATTACATAAGTTGAATAAACTTCTTATTGAAGATTGATGATATTTGTTCGAAAATTGACATCGTGTGTACGTGTGTTTCTGCCTAAATTACTGTCTCCGGATTGGGCCGAGTTGACCCGGGAGTTGGGCCGAGTTGACCAGGTAGATGGGCAGAGTTGTCTGGGCCGAGTCGGTAATGGTCCGAGTCGTCCGACATTCGTAAATTTTATGGATGACATCCTCCTCAGACTCCAGATTCAATGCGAAAAACATGGCGCGCCAAAAAAAAAGATTTCTAGACATTTTCAACTTTTGAGATCATTAACTTTGCTAATTTAAAACAAGAATTGAGGTGACAAAACATGACATCACAACCAACAGGTCAGTATTCCTTCTTGATGTGTAAACACATCTGAGTCAGTAGAAAAGATTATTCATACACGATGAAACACAGACTGTCAACACTTTCCATTAGGCCACACCGACTTAATTTTATGGATGACATCCGCCCGTGCATTGATTTTTGCCTGTTCTCAAAAAAAAAAAGTCACGTCCACCTAGGCTCTGGCCTGGCTCTAGGTCTGGGTAGTCCATGGTAGTTAGCGACAATACGGAGCCGAGCACCGAGGCTACCGAAGCTCCACGACTCAAGAACTCAGTACATACGTACAGTGCCGATTCATAAATTCCACAATGAGCCAACATGTGGTGGCTTGTCGTATACGTCGCTAAGTACTGCCGCAAATTCACAATACCATCTTTGTATTCCTGTGGTTTAGTAGCATTTTTTTTTTTTGGTCGGGATTTTTTTATTCGCCCGCGCGCAATAGTTTAGGGGTCTTCATAGGATGTCACCCATAAAATTAAGTCGGTGTGGCCTTATTCAACTACTACAAAATGCTGTAATTTGTGAAGCCTAGATGTTATGTTTCCAAGCAACTTTCAACACTTACAGTAAAATTTTTCTCCAGATCAGTTGATTTGTGTTCACATTAATTTGTTTTTGTGTAATTGGCATTTTGGTATCTGCAACCCTGGTACATTGTATCTGCAATTTTTGGTATATACAATAATTAATATATATATATCAGTAACGTTAGAAGTCAAAGGGAAAATGAAACTTTCCGTAAATAATTTCATCAGGTTGGAAGATACTTAGGGTATAGAATTTTCTTCTTACACAACCATAGAGTTTCTCACCTGCTTACGTTTCGATGTCTATCAGACACCTTCCTCAGAGCTTCTGACTGGAGTTCTGCAACTCGTCACTATTTAACACCAAAGTAGGTGGCTCTTTTGCGGCGAGAATGCAATCCCAAACGTGGCTGAGCTTGTATCCCCCCTCGTCCCGGTTCATCACTGGGGTTGATTTTCTTATCCAGACTGCTTCTTTAATCCACTGAGGAAGGTGTCTGATAGACATCGAAACGTAAGCAGGTGAGAAACTCTATGGTTGTGTAAGAAGAAAATTCTGTACCCTAAGGGAAATAAAACTGTTGTGAATTCAAGATAAAATAGCAGGAGATGAAATTTTTCTACTGTTTTTCCAGGCATTGCCAGGTGATGTTTCCCTTGTCATTCTCAGCTGTCTACTCTTGAAGGTGCCTACAACTTATGTAAAGACTCTGCTCAAAATAGGTAAGATCATCAAATTGTGTTAATGGAAGATCCATTTGGACCTAAGAATATTTTCGTTTCACGAAAACTAATTTATGCCTATCTCGTTGGCCGATGCCTTAATAAGAATCCAGGAGGAATCGGGATTTCGGGGGTCTGGCACAGACCTGGTGTCCCACCAAAATTCGCATTAAATTCTCGAGAAAATTCCTCACAAGTAACGGAGAGGGAAACTCGAAATGTCACCCTCCATGTCCTCCGCTGTTGTTCTGAGAGTGAAAAGTGATCTGCGAGCACATGGAATTTACGAACTCTGATTGGTCAGGTTGTCGGGCTCGGAGCCCCTCATGTGTTCCAAATAAGGAATTACCTGCGCTTCTACGAAATACTGTATGAGCCTAGCAGGTCGGGTCGGCAGTCTCATCCGGCATAAATTTGTATTTGAGGTTCATAGTTATATTACATGGTGATGCTGTTCTGCCATCTTAAAGTTTGTTTTTTTATTACCTTTTCCGTCATCTTTAGCCAGGGATGCCCAGCTTAGTGGTTAACACTGCTTTACAGTATATAAATACAATGATATAGATAAATCAAGTAGAATACATACAGTCACATACAAACAGTTAAATTAAGACATGATAAATGATAATAATGATGATGTAATGATGAATAAAAAGATAACAAAATGATAACAATAATAATTAATGATAATAAATAACAAAACTGATATTGCCAGTACACAATAGATATCTGCAGATAAACTGTACCAATTTTAAGTTTGGTTAGTTCCTGAACATTCATGTTTTATTTACCTAAATGTTTTCTATATTCTCTACAGCCACGAGAGTCACCAACCCTCTCACAACTGATGCAGGGATAGCCCGAGTCCTTCTCTTCCCACTGTTACAATGTGTTGCTGGGACAATGGGGGCATCAGTAGGGACAAAAGGAACTGGAGAGGTGCAGACTTTAGCAAGAGAACTCTTCAGCTGTGTGGAGGAAAGCACCAAGAGAGAGACTAGGGCATCGTCAGTACAGGTTAGGACTGATGATCGCATCCCTTTGAATCCATTTTTTAAATCCAATTTTAACATGTCATTTTTCCCCTTAACTGGGGGTTAGACGTGCTTGCATGAAGTGCAAATCTTTTTTGAAGCAAGGGTCTGTTTTTTGTTGCTGAATGTTATTCACACTGACACAAGGGTCTGTCTTTGGTGCTGAATGTTATTGACACTGACACAAGGGTCTGTTTTTGGTGCTGAATGTTATTCACACTGACACAAGTGTCTGTCCTTGGTGCTGAATGTTATTCACACTGACACAAGGGTCTGTCCTTGGTGCTGAATGTTATTCACACTGACACAAGGGTCTGTCCTTGGTGCTGAATGTTATTCACACTGACACAAGGGTCTGTTTTTGGTGCTGAATGTTATTCACACTGACACAAGTGTCTGTTTTTGGTGCTGAATGTTATTCACACTGACACAAGGGTCTGTCCTTGGTGCTGAATGTTATTCACACTGACACAAGGGTCTGTCCTTGGTGCTGAATGTTATTCACACTGACACAAGGGTCTGTCCTTGGTGCTGAATGTTATTCACACTGACACAAGGGTCTGTCCTTGGTGCTGAATGTTATTCACACTGACACAAGGGTCTGTTTTTTGGTGCTAAATGTTAGTCACACTGACACAAGGGTCTGTCCATGGTACTGAATGTTATTCACAGTGACACAAGGGTCTGTGTTTGGTGCTGAATGTTATTCACACTGACACAAGGGTCTGTCCTTGGTGCTAAATGTTAGTCACACTGACACAAGGGTCTGTCCTTGGTACTGAATGTTATTCACAGTGACACAAGGGTCTGTGTTTGGTGCTGAATGTTATTCACACTGACACAAGTGTCTGTCCTTGGTGCTGAATGTTATTCACACTGACTCAAGGGTCTGTTTTTGGTGCTGAATGTTATTCACACTGACACAAGGGTCTGTGTTTGGTGCTGAATGTTATTCACACTGACACAAGGGTCTGTATTTGGTGCTGAATGTTATTCACACTGACACGAGGGTCTGTTTTTGGTGCTGAATGTTATTCACACTGACACAAGGGTCTGTTTTTGGTGCAGAAAGTTATTCACACTGACACAAGGGTCTGTTTTTGGTGCTGAATGTTATTCACACTGACACAAGGGTCTGTCCTTGGTGCTGAATGTTATTCACACTGACACAAGGGTCTGTTTTTGGTGCAGAAAGTTATTCACACTGACACAAGGGTCTGTTTTTGGTGCTGAATGTTATTCACACTGACACAAGGGTCTGTCCTTGGTGCTGAATGTTATTCACACTGACACGAGGGTCTGTTTTTGGTGCTGAATGTTATTCACACTGACACAAGGGTCTGTTTTTGGTGCAGAAAGTTATTCACACTGACACAAGGGTCTGTTTTTGGTGCTGAATGTTATTCACACTGACACAAGGGTCTGTTTTTGGTGCAGAAAGTTATTCACACTGACACAAGGGTCTGTTTTTGGTGCTGAATGTTATTCACACTGACACAAGGGTCTGTTTTTGGTGCTGAACACTATTCATACTAACACAAGGGTCTGTCCTTGGTGCTGAATGTTATTCACACTGACACAAGGGTCTGTCCTTGGTGCTGAATGTTATTCACACTGACACAAGGGTCTGTTTTTGGTGCTGAATGTTATTCACACTGACACAAGGGTGTGTTCTTGGTGCTGAATGTTATTCACACCGACACAAGGGTGTGTTTTTGGTGCTGAATGTTATTCACACTGACACAAGTGTCTGTTTTTTTGGTGCTGAATGTTATTCACACCAACACAAGTGTCTGTCTTTGGTGCTGAATGTTATTCACACTGACTCAAGTATCTTATTATTTTATTTTAGAGTTTATAATGCTGCATGTTGTATTTATCAAAATAAGGTGGTTGAGACTTTGGAATTTTCTAACAAAAGGGCATTAATTTAATATCATTATGGTAAAATTATGACTAATTTTGCTCCAAACACCATAGCGGCTATACTTTGGTGCTGAACTCTATTCACACTGGCACAAGTATAAGTCCCTGCTGCTGACTGCCTTTAACACTACTGCACTTGTCTGTCCCTGGTACTAAATGGCATTCACAAGATGCATGCATCTGAATGCTATTCATACCAATCACTGGTGTTTGTCCTTGGTGCTGAATGTCATTCTTTTACACATATTATGCTTATGCCTGCTTACAGAGATATAACATCTCTAAGATTGTTATTAGTTCAAAATTCTATCCTTTCCTTTGCAGGATGAAATTCACAAGGTCATCGATCCCTGGTTTAATCTGATGTCATCTACTGCCCTATTGGTCATCCACCTCCAAAGAGACCCTGATGCAGCTTCTGATTGGCTAAAGGCTGTCCAATCAGGACTGAGCCAGTGCAGCACAGTGCCAGACCATGTTGTGTTGGTTGTTGCCTCTCTGGTGCTCAGTCCCCACACAGATGTGCTCTATCCCGCCTTAGAGGTACTCGCAGCACTAGCAAAAGCTGATGTAGCAAAGGTATGTTAACTTTTAAATAAATCAATCAGGGCTCAAAATTAAGGGATTCTGTGCTTAATTACTACTGAATTATAACAGGCCCCAAAATTCATTTTTGGGAATAGGTGCACTGGTGCACCCAACCTAAAAAAATGGGTGCACACAAAAAATTTCGGGTGCACCATATAAGATAAAATAGGTAAAATGTCAGTAAAAACTGATATCTTATTTCTAAAGAAATGTACTTTGTCTAATAACAATGATCTTAATTTTCTGACACTTTGATGTTAGGAATATGCTGTATACTACTAATATAAGACATACATTTAATATCTTACATGTATACATAAACCTGCACCCACAGAAAATAATTGGGTGCACAGCACCAAATTTTGGTGCACTAAGGTGCACATGCACCCAGTATTGTGAGCCCTGTATAATATTATATACATTGTATAATAGTTTATCTTTAATTTTGCATGTATTTTTCAAATGTAAATTGTTCACCAACATGCAATTTTGTATATGCCAAGGGTTAAGATCCAGATCCACACTGACTGATAGTATACCAGATGGAATGCTCTAGATACAATGTTTTGCATAACAAGCTGTTCACATTTCTTAATTCTAGTACAACAGATTTCAAGAGACTCAATGCTCTGAATATATTTTTAATGCAATAAGTCATTACAAAAATAGATAAATATATAAAAAAGACTGCTTTGTTATTAGAAAAAGTTTCCAAACTCATGATTAGTCTCACTTGATTGTAACACTATTATATCAAAGACTAATGCTACATGTAAACGTCATTTTAGTAATAAGCTAAGGATGTTATTTGATAACTGAAGTTATATAATGTTACAGTTACTGTACCTTTTTTTCTGTACTATGTTCATTAGTTTGTTTCTTTTGCCATACATTTTACCATGTAAAATTCTCGTGCCATAAATTCATCTCTATATGCTGGTTACAGGCCCCCTACCTGCTGTCCCTGTTGCTGTATAGACTAGGACAGGAGAAGGATGCTGAACTCCACATGAAGCTGCTGTACACTGCACCCAAATTAGCCACACACAAGGTAAAAAGGCACTCATCATCATCGGTCGACCGTATTGGTCGGGGTTATACCACCCCTTACGAGGTGACAAACCCTTTCGTTTGCTTAATACAAGACGGGGTTCGCCACGCCTCCGTCTGGGTGATGATGTAATCACCATGTGTGGTGATGTAATCACCATGTGGCTGATACGGAACAGAGGTTCGCCAGGCCTCCATTCGGGTGATTTGAAGTGAATCACCAACTCCATACAGTAGTGTTTGTACCATCGCACACCGGGGCATGCCCCTACTCTTTTTTGAAAGGTGTGGTGGGATCTTTAACGTGCGTGGGGTGTGGCTCTATCCAAACACGGGACCTCCATTTAACGTCCTATCCGAGGGACGTCCCTACCCGAAGCTAGGTACTCATTTCCACCTGAGTGAAGTGAGGAAAGTCGTGTAAAGTGCCTTTCCCAAGGGCACAAGATCGGTGACAAGGTGGGGTTCGAACCCACGACCTCTGGGGTCTGAGCCGAACACGCTACCGATTGCACCACACGACCCCACAAAAAAAAGGCACTACAAAGTAGAAATGCTGACATTTGCTTTGGAGTATTTGGCCACTGTACCTTCATGTCAAATTGCATGTTATTTGGCCCCAAAATGAAGAAATTGAATGCATTTAATAAAATAGCAGGAGAAGAAGAAGGAGAAGAATAAAATTATATGTTTCACCATACATAGCGTTCACATAGTGTGGTGAAGCCATAATGATGTGGGAGTTATGCAATTTTTTGTCAAGACATAACATAAATATTCATTCCACTTTATCATCTCATCTATCCCATAGTCTTCATTATTTGACCATTAGAGCACCACAGATGATCTGACAACCAGTTTTTAGTGTCTCTGATATTATCCCCCCATGTATTTTCCACTGCCTATCCCTCTTTCTTTCTCCTTGTACTATTTCTTACATCATTCTTTATTTCATGCACAGTTCTTTGAAATTCATTGGTTTAGTGTTGGTATGTTTACATGTTTTTGGCGACGTCTCAGGGAGGAGCCTAATGGTACAGTATTGTGTGCAGTTTGCAAGAATTCTAGGAATGGTACAGGCATTTTGTCCACAGGAATGGAATGTCCACAGGCATGTCTCTGACCCACATCTATGCCCACATTCCTGGAAACCCTTGGGAAGACCTGTCTGCCCCGATGGCCCTACTTTCTGTGACCCCGGGGCTCGTTCACTATACACTCAGGGGAGGAGTGCACTTTATCTGTCTTCCTCAAAATCATGAAATGACGGCAGTGCCATGCAAACAATAACCCTAACATCAACCACCGTCGCCATGGCAATTTATGTTTTCATTGCCAGTCTTGTTGTATGTGTATGTGTATATACCAGACTGAGTGCAGCTCTGAATCTTATATCAAGAAATAATGATCATATTTCTTCAGGTGTGCATTCCTCCAATACTGAAGACTCTCCAGGTGCTTGGAGCCCATGCCCACCTCAGGGCTGTGTCTTTAAGACTCCTTACGTCACTCTGGGAACAACAGGTGTGTAACATATAGTCTTATATTACTTAGTAGTTAGATGTGACATGAGGCAGTCAGAGCAATCCAGCAAGTTTGGTCAACATTGCCTCTCTTGAGTTGATCATATGGATGAGATCTACACGATCCGATCTACACGCCATGAATTTTCATTTGAATGTGTTTAGTCGTTTGTTCAACCTTCATGATCACAATTTTTAGTAGATTGAAGACAACTTTTTTTCCAAAACTTATTTGGTTAAATGTATTTCTTGTGCAGGATCGCAGCTTTCCTCATCTGCAGAAGTTGCTCCTGTGTGAACTGCCTGCCAGTCATCCACCTGCTCAGGTCCTGGAGATGAACATGGCCAAGGCAGCTTCTGTCAGGGACATATGTAAACTGAGGTACAGAAGAAATAAATGATATGATTTCTTCCAGTTTTCTATGTGTGAAAACAGGAAAAAAAAACATTTTTAAAAATTGTAATTATACAATGTCATCTGATTCAGATTCTGTAAACCTGAGCTAGATCTATAGCAGCTGCTATTCTGGATATTTTTCCAATCTTAAAAATCAATGTTACAGTTACTGTAACTCTAAATGGTTTCTTGGTGTCTTACTAACTGTATTTCTCAATGGTTATTCTGCAGGGCACATCAACACGGTGCTGACTTGTTGCCTGTCCTGTCTAAGATCCTGAATGACTGTACCTCGGAGCTGGACGCTGTGCCGGCCAGTCTGGCACTGGACGGGCTCACGGCCCTGTGTCAGGCCGAGGTGGTGGACATCAGAACAGCCTGGTCAGTCCTGGCTTCCAAACTAGAGACAGACCAGAGGTGGGTTCCATGCATGTGGTGCCAATAAAGAAGAAGTCAAACCCAGTAAAACTAGTACCATGTATGTTGTAGAATATAGTATAATGCTAGACGCAGATATAGTCTCGCATACCACTGTATTTTCTTTCTTATGTTGTTTGTAACTGCAATTAGCCCTCGGGCATGTATTTGCAATAAACTTTCTTATATACAAAATAAATAAAATGTAATAGATTGGGTCTAATTAGGAACTCCAAGCAGATGCTCAGGGTTCCTACACTGCCTGTAACTGCCTGTAACTGATAGAGACATACATGTATCAATAGATGTTTAGTATGCAAATGAAGACCTAATTTACATAAATGATAAGAAAATACTGTAATCAGTAAAATAGTAACTTCATACAGCATTTTGGAACTTAAATAAAGTTGAACATTTTTTGACATGAATTGTGCAAATCAGGGCCTTATTTAGAAAATTTAGGAGGAAATGCTACTTTATTTGCTAAAATTTTTCTTCGCACTGATTTATCAAAATCCTTTCAATGGCTTTATCTGAAATTTGGCATGTCGACACATTACAATGTACTTTTTTCAGTAGGATATCAAATGCTTTTGTTAAATACATCACTGTGACAGTTACGTGTACCTGCTAAGCCTTCTTAATTTGGCATTTAAAGTTTCAGCAAGTTGTCACTTAGACATGTTTCCTAACTTTGCCCCATTTTTCCTAGACCCCTGGTCCTTAGTCACGTATGTGAGCTGTTTTCCCTTGTGCCTGCACTTGCCGTCAATACACCAGAGTATGAGGTGAGCCAGGTTTCAGTGTACTCCTATCTTTACTCCTTTCTTCATTTTTTTTGTCATTATGCATGCTAATACTGTGCTGTATTTGCAAATTTTGTCCTACCTTTTCATCTGTTTTAAGCTGTTTTAAGTTGAAAATGTAGTCATTAATTTAGAATAATTATTCTGGATAAATTCTCCATTAACAAATTTGCAGAACTTTCAGGAACAGGTGACTTTTCTCCTGTGGCAGCTGATCAAAAGCAAGGTAAATCAACTACAGAAAGTCTGACATTTTTGCGAGCAAATACAACATATTTCACTCCATCTCCCTCCCATAAAATTGGATTGTTCCAAACTGAGCACACCTCTGCAAATTTTAAAGTAGAATATTTTAAAATAACTCGTGCCCAAAGTAAACTGTTGCCATTAAGTCATCCCAGTCTGAAATGAAACCTTCCAAATTTCACCCCAACTAAAAAATATTCAAGATGGACTCTTCCAGCATTACCCGCATATAAAAGTACCAGTAAAAAACTGCCTTTTTCACAATCTCTCGTCCAAAATTGAATTTTACAAAAAAAAATTCCACCTACTCAAGAATAGACCCGATGTTATGATATAGACCTTCCCACACAAAATATAGCCTTTTCATATAATCTTTAATGATACCTGTGTGTAATGTACAATGATCATGTATCTAACAAGTTGCTGGTTCTTGAATCTGCAGAGCCCTGTAGTGGCTGGTGCTGCATTTGCTGCCTTGTCACAGTACAGCCCAGAGTGCTTCAAAGTGGCACACCTACCAGAACCAGTGAGTTAAAAAACTGCAATCTGCAACCGTATGAAATATGTTTGTAAGACAGTGCAGGATTGATTCTTCATGATAAACATATTAAGGCCACACCAATTTAATTTGTTGGTTCTCGGATTTTTTCAGCAAAAATATAAAGCAACAGGGCGAAAAAAAATAAAAATAAAAACAGGTCTAGGCATCCTATTATAGGCTTAAATGCTACAAAATGAGCCATGAAGTCAACACAAAAGGCTGGGTTAAAATTTAAACATTGAATTTTGAACTTAATCAAACCACTGCAATGATAGATGGCAAAACTGTAACAACTAGGAAGAAAAGGACTTTCCTCAACTGTTGGGGGGCAAAACATGAGCATTTTTCAGTTGATTCAGGACCAGAATCAATTTTTTTTTTTTTGCAAATCAGAAAAAAACGAAGAGGCGAATCCGAGAACCAACAAATTAAATTGGTGTGGCCTAATCTATGCTATTTATCTGTAGTTGAAGCTAACTTAAAGGCCACAGCAAGTAATTTTTATGGATGACATCAGCACGTGCATCAATTTTTGCCTGATTTTGAAAAGAAATTTTGTTGCCTTCTGAAGACAGTGGTCAACATGCTGAAAATGGGCAAAGATGTCTAAAGATCTGTTGCCATGCCAGAACGTGGATGGCAGATAACTATGAAGAGAGGAGACAAGAAAAGGCTCTGATTTAATGTTTTGTTTCTTACTTTGATGCAGTGATATGTGATGCTGGCCGTGTACATGTATATGTGATGTACCCACTGAATCAAAACCATTTGTAGAATGATTGAGTCAAAATTTTAAAATGTGGGAACCTTGTTTTTTCAGCCTGTCTTGTTTTTTTTTTTCACCTGCTCGCATTAGATTTGGAGTCTGCGGAGGATGTCATCCATAAAATTTACTTGCTGTGGCCTAAGTTTGTTTTATGACAATGCATCAGGTGCGTCCTGAGAGAAAAACACCAGAAAAAGGAGATGGGGAAGAGGAAGAGCAGGAGGAGGAGGAAATGATAATCCCAGGGTCATCTTACACTAAACTCATGATTATGGTGGACAGCATCAAAGTCTTGGAAAGTAAGGTTCTACTCCTTTTTTACAATTCATACAGTATCGTTCGTGCTAATAGTTACTAACCGTTACTAACGGGTTAGAATTTCGTTACTATAACTAGTTAGGTTTTCGTTACTATCGGGTTAGATTTTCGTTAGAAAATCGTTAGAAAATCGTCAGAAATTATTTCTAACTCGTTACTGTCTGCGTTAATGTGATAGGGTCGGATTTCATGTTTGTTTTGCGCGCCGACAAGACAATAGCAATTTGCCACCTCCTGCATGGGGCGGCTACTCATGCCATGTTGCCCGGGGTACCTACTGCAGAAAAAGTGTTGTTAGCATTGAATACCATGAATTCAAATTCAATGTTTTATCATCAGATTTATTAATCAGACTGAGGTATATTTTGTGATTATTTGAAGGAAATAATTGTCAACCTGCTCAACTATAATTTTATCTTCACAGATTTTGAAAAGTTCCTGAGTTCTCTGGTCCAGCATGAAATGGCCAACATGCCTAGAGGGGTGTACCACTCTGTCGGGCAGGGGCAGGCAGGTAGAGGTCCCCAGAACCGGGCAGTGGCAGGTATCCCAGCATTCATGCTGAGGCAGTATGAGAGGAACAAGCAGCCTGGAATGCAGCAGGTGCTAGCAGGTACACCTGTAACAAACGTTCTTTCTGTGTGGGTAGGATTTGGGCTAAAGTTACAATTACAGTAAACTGTTACGATTACAGTTACAGTTACAAATCCTTAGACTCTCACTCTAAGGAACTAGTTACTAGACTCTCACTCTAAGTAATGCCAAAGCCAGGTCGATGTATATTTGATTTGACTTCATTGACTAACTGCGGTATCAGATACAAAGCAATGCAACATATAATGGAACTACAGAATGATACAAAGTTATACAACGAAACAGTTACAGAGAAAAACACAATACTAAAAATAGGCAAAGACTGAGAACAGAAACCAGTTACCTGTACAGTCGAGTGTGTTGCAGGGAGAACTACTAGACTAAACTACTACTAACCTAAACCGGTGTACTGGAACGGAGCTTCCGAGAGGCGAAGAACTTAGTTCTAGGGCGCGTCCCGCTATTTTATGGTGCGCGTGGAAGGGCGGAGCGACATCTGCATGGCGGAGGCATGGTCAGGCTTTGGCCAATGACGCGTCTGGGTCACGTGCTCTCACCACGTGACCCCAGACCGTCTAACGCAGTGATTGGCCTGTTACACACCCCATGCACCTTAGTGCACCCAAATTTGGAGCTGCGCACCCAATTTTTTTCTGTGGGTGCACCAGTACTAGTGCACCTAATAGTAAATATTTTCTTAGGTTTTCCTATAAAGAATAAAAAAAAGATGTTAAATGTTTAAAGTTAAAACTTTATTTGTTCCAACACAAAAAAAAAATTTTCTCACCTAGAGCTTTCGACCAGTCACTCTGGTCTTCCTCAGTAGACTGACCCAGTGAAGCTTGTCACGTCTACTAGATACCTTTGACCCAGAGTGACTGGTCGAAAGCTCTAGGTGAGAGAATTTTTTGTGTTGGAACAAAAGTTTTAACTTTAAACATGTAACTACCAACACAGATGAACTCTCATGATAGATGTTAAACGTATTGTATACAGCGTATTCTTTCTTAATATCTAAGACAGTGTCAAAAAAATAATTAAATTATTGTTGCAGTACTTTTCTTTAGACTTTAGATATGAAAAATATTAGTTTTTGCTGACATTATACTTATTTCATTTTATATGGTGTACCCAAAATATTTTTTGTGCACCCAATTTTTTAGGCCTAAAAGGAATTTCGAGCACTGCGATAGATTTATATATAATTACCATACCATGATGTTGCTTGAAAGTTTTACAGTGCAGTGTGGGACCATGGAAGTTCATCTGTGTTCTTCAGATAATAATCTTAGTACGATGCTGAAATTTATTCCAACATAAGAGTACACTAAATTTTTCTCTGAAAATGGTTTCATCAGGTTGGTAGTGTGTAGGATATACATGTAGGGGTTTTCGTTTACACAACTGCACTTTTGTCATAAATCGCAAGGGGACACTACTACACACAGAAATGGCTGTTTTTTCCACCCCCAAATGAGAGGCTTTGTTTTCTGCCGATCGGACTGGACGTTGTTTTCCACCAACCCCTTGGGCATGAATTTGCAATAAAGTTTGTTATTAAATTGATCATTGTTTTGTTTCCCATCAGCTGGACTGCTGTGTTGCTATGACTACCCAGTTCAGGTGGATGGTAGCGGTGCTCCTGTCAGGAGACATGTGGTGACCAGGGGCAAAATGTATCAGAAGATGTTCCAGACACTTCTTAATGAGGTACAAGACTGTACACAGAGATTTTGTCTCAGGTTGCCCACTAGGCCAAAAGTGGGTGTCTCAAACCCTTATCATGTACACACGTACAAAATAATGGACTGGACTGTATGATTGTATACATGTAACATCTGTGTCCATAATATCACCAGGGTCCATAATATCGCCACCTTGAGAAACAGTGTGCTTAAAGATATTTTTACTGCAACATACCCTTAGGTATGTACATTTGATGTGTGAAGGAGTGCATACCAAAAGTATGTTGCAGTAAAAATATCTTTAACCACACTGTTTCTCAAGGTGGCGATATTATGGACCCTGGTGATATTATGGACACAGATTTTAGATCTTCAAAAAAAGTGACATGCCGCATGCCGCAATTTACTAGATAAAGGCATCACGGTGACCATACATGTAGTACTGCATGTTTCACTTGTTACATGATTATATCTGATTCATTATAGTAACAGAAAACTGTAACAGTTATCATAGCAAGCAGGTCATATCCGGTGTACAACAAACATACAAATTACAAGTCCTGAAGTTCTCAGGTTAGGGTAGAAATGTTTTTTTCTCAGGTTGCTCACTTGGCAGACTAAGCCAAAAGCTATGTTGCCCATCACGAAAAATAAGGGGTTTCAGAAGCCTTAACTTAGGCCACACCAATTTAATTTCTTGGTTTAACTTAATGGATTTTTCTAGAAAAATAATGGAGCGGGCGGGCGAAAAAAAATAAAAAATAAAAACAGGCCTAGGCATCCTATTATGGCCCAAAATGGTACGATACTTATTATAGGAACCATAAAGTCAACACACCTGGCTGGTTCAAAATTTAAACAATGAATTTTGAACTTTTAATGATACCACTGCATTGAAAGATGGAATAACTGTAACAACTAGGATGAAAAGGACTGTTTTCAACTGTTCAGGGCAAAATATGAGCATTTTGGAGTTGATTCTGAATTTTTATTTTTATTTGCAAATCAGAAAAAAATTAAGCGGGCGAATCCGTTAACCAAGAAATTAAATTGGTGTGGCCTTATCACAAAAAAGTAATATGCTACTAGTGTTATGTATGACTTTAGATGAATATTAGTAGGCATCACTTTATATACACGCACACATTATATATAATTAATAATAATAATAATGCTTCATTACATAACAGCAAACTGTATCATAGCAAACAGGTCATGTCCAGTGTACAACAAATATTCAATGCTCTCAGATATCACATACAGTTTTTGATGGTTGATGAAAGAGTCTTGCTGTTATTTCAGGTTCCCTTCCAGCATACCGAGTGGTCTCGTCTGTTGCCCCTTCCTCAGGCATGGTCTGCTTTCATGGACAGAGTCTACCATGCAGTTCTAAAGGTATTGAAGACTGACTTGAAGAGTAATGAGGCCATTTGTGCCGGCCAACGTGAATGGCACTCACTTTATACACGGGCACAATGTTTTACAATCATTGTAGATTTCCTGTGTATGTAGATGTCTGATCCAGCCTTTGGGTCAGATCGCTCGACAACCAAAGGTCAGAAGACAAGACAGAGAGTGATATGGAATACATTGTATTTTTTTATTTGTGTACAGTTGTGTATCCTGTTTCAGTCCTGAAAAAAAATTAGGGTCAGTAGGTTTAATTGGGAATTTAGGATTATCTTTTTTTTCTTTCTTTTCGTTTTTTAGGCTTTGGCGATCTCTAGTGAGCCAACTATATAGTTACTGTACAGTTTAATTGAAAGTAAAATTTGCATAAGGACACTCATGCATTTTCAGTGTCAATGTTGAAAAACTGATTGTACAAGGTTTCGTCACTCAGGTGTCAGAGCATGGAGCTCGAAAAGGTCCATTAAGCTCAAAAGATATGTCCCAGTTTTCTCAGGGCCAGTTGGGAAATAGGAAACACAACATACAATTTCTTTTCCTAGACCTAAAATAAAGTATCTTCAACCAATATTGTGATAAATAAATAATAATTGCTGATGTCCATGTCTGCTATCGATGTGCAGGGTCGAAGGGCAGAGCTGGAGATGCAGCAGAAACACCAAACTGACACAGAGGAGGAGATCAAGTACAAACAGGACGTTGCCTGGCTGTGGTGAGAACTGCCTCTCTCCTGTAGCTATTTTTTTGTGTGACTTTGCTAAGAAGTTTGTCTTTTTTTTTTTACAAGTTGAAGATAAATCAGAATATTATGGAGATGTACATTCATGTAGTTTATGACTCGTTTTATGTAAAACTATCTTTCACTGTTCCTCAGGGTCAGGGATAAGCTTGTTGACATCATAAAGACAGCATCAGTGTAAGTCAACATCACGTCTTCCAATTTGCACACATTTAATATGCACCTTTCATAATTTTATAACCTTCAAACTGACCTGTAAATCTTAGTGCCTATTATGTGCATTGCATTGCTCTGTAATCTAGGCCACGCCAAACTTTTTTCTGATTAGGCCACGTAATTTTATGGATAACATCAGTTCATACTCGCATTTGCAAAATTTCGCAGTCTGAGAAAAATGAAAATGTTCACGGAACTATATTTTCATGGTGGGGACAGGTACAGAGAAATGATGAATTTGCGGTACACATTCTGAAGTGACCACGAAGTCACCTCATTTGCATGTTCGTGAGATTTAAATGGTACCCTTACCCACAGAGGCACACCTACTGCTCAGGCCAACTCAGTGCTAGCTGTGGCAGGACTGGCCGGCACAGTGATGAGGTACATGGCCAGTCTAGGTGCAGAGGCAACCCGGATCCAACAGGAGGCGTCAGAGCACAACAGCTGCTCCCACTGGCTGGGCATGCTCACTGATCTTCTGATGTGTGTGGCTGATTCAAAGTACAAGCCGAAGGGACGGACACTGGGCCTTTTCCAGCAGGTACCGTAGGGTTCTGAAAATCTAGTCTACAGACTAGCGATGCATACCGGTTCACTGGACTTGGATCCGGACTTGTAAGAGTGTTTAGGTTCAAGTCCAAAAAAACTTAAAAGTCAAGAACCGAGTCCGGACTTATTTAATACCATAAAAGACCATTTCACATAGTATTACGGTAACCCCTTTTCTTTCCAAACCACCTAAAACCTTCCGTATATTGTAAAATCTTTGCTGCAAAATGAAGAAAACATTGCCATCGGGCATCGTCAAATACCGGCCTCCATGTTTAATGTGGCCAAAGTTTCACCCAGACAACATTGCAAGGTTGCCAACATGCAATTTTGTATATGCCATGGGTTTAGGTCCAAACTTACAAGTCCGGAACTGAACCTAAACCTCTGGACTTGAATCCGGACTTGAACCTAAAATTGGGTTAAGGTATGCATCACTACTACAGACTTGAGAAATACACTCAGTCAACAAAATGATGAAAAAAGGACAGCCAAAACAAGTAACATCTTAAAATTTGACTAAAGTCTTGTAAAATGTAGATTTCTCCTTATTGTATAACATGGCTGAAAATAAGGGCTGCCTAGATGGATGGACTAAACAAATATTACTGACAGTCTATGAATCATACATAGGAAATTACATGCATTACTTTTGTAGAACGCCATTTTCTGACAACTGAGTCACATCTTTTTTTGTCATTATCTCATTTTAAAATGTAGGTTCTGAAACTTATGCAAAATGTAATCCAAAAGTAAAATTTTGAATTTGTTTGTTTTGCAGAAGTCCCGGGGTGGAGCCCCGTCATGTAGCATGTTAGCCCGTTCTTGCTGTAGCCTGTAAAATTTTAATTTGTTTGTTTGTTTGTTTTGCAGAAGTCCCGAGGTGGAGCCCCGTCATGTAGCATGTTAGCCCGTGCCTGCTGTAGCCTGTAAAATTTTAATTTGTTTGTTTGTTTGTTTGTTTGTTTGTTTGTTTGTTTGTTTTGCAGAAGTCCCGAGGTGGAGCCCCGTCATGTAGCATGTTAGCCCGTGCCTGCTGTAGCCTGGCCTTCTCCCAGCTTATCCCTGTTCTTGTCACCAACAACGTGGAGCGTATCCACCACATGATCCGCATCCTGGTCTCCGGGCTGCCGGGGAAACCGCAGGCGGACGAATCCTCCACCGTGGTGTTCTGTCAGGGGCTGGGGCTGGGGATGGTGCTGGCCAGGCTGTATGAGGAACACTTCAGCGATGTCACCGGTAGGGAGGGAGCCATGCTGCTGATGAAGACACTGGACCAGCTAGAGAATGTGTGCTTCAACACAGGCCTAGAAAATAGGTGGGCACATATTTTGTTTATTTTGTATCAACAACAACATAACTCACAGCCTTGACATACAGGGCTGAATTCCAATGTTTGTTTACCACAATAAATTATGGTAGGGTCGTCAATACAAATTACAATGATTATCATGTCTGAATCTACATATTAATCACTTTTAATTAGTTCAATGAGTTTACTATTTACAATAATACTTAGTTTATATCACTCAATGTCATTTATATCATATTGTCATTTATGGCATAGATGGACTACATTTAATGTTTGATACAGGTGTTTCGGCCCATGTGATAACTAGTCATATCACACAGGGTTTTAACAGGTATCACACAAGCTTGCATATGATCCTGGACCATAGAATAGAATAAAATGTACACGGTGACATATATTATGTAATTCATGAAATCTGGTGTATGAATAGGAAAATTTCACCATGCAGACTATTGCTGTCTGCTACAACAGTAAAGTTACACTTTTTTATCGAGTACAATTAAACCAAAAAATCATCCAAAGAAAAATGTGCACCTATCATCATGTTTCTTAGATTTATATCAGATTTTGTTTCTATAAGGCCACACCATTTTAATTTCTTGGTTAACGGATTTTTTATAGAAAAATAATGGAGTGGGCGGGCGAAAAAATAAAAAAATAAAAACAGGCCTAGGCATCCTATTATGGTCCAAAATGGTACGATAGGAGCCATGAAGTCAACACACCAGGCTGGTTCAAAATTTAAACTGTGAATTTTGAACTTTTAATGATACCATCGCATTGAAAGATCGAATAACTGTAAAGGATAAAAAGGACTGTTTTCAACTGTTCAGGGCAAAATATGAGCATTTTGCAGTTGATTCTGAATTTTTTATTTGCAATCAGAAAAAAATGAAGCGGGCGAATCCATTAACCAAGAAATTAAATTGGTGTGGCCTAAGGCACTCATTCTCCAACTTCAGATTACTTTTGATGTCTACAGTTAGCTATTGAATTTTGATTTAATGTACATTGTCATCAGGTTTTAACTGCAATTAAAGAATAAGACTCACTATGATCTTACTTCTGAATCAAATTCTTATTTGTTCCAGCTCTGGCTGTGTGCTAGGTTTGGGTATAGTTCTGTCAGCCCTGTCAGGACAGAGTGCCACAGAGAGTAGAGTCCACACCACGGCTACCATAGAGAAGATGTTCTCCCTGCTGGACACTGTGGACAATCGGGACTTGAAGGAGGTAACATCAAGTTCCTGAGTAAGGAGAGTCTTTTTACACAACCAAGTCTTTTATTCAGCCGACGTTTCGGTGACCGTCTGTCACCTTCCTCAGGGCAATTCTGACTGGTTCACGTTGCACTGCGACACGTGTCACATGTTTAGGAAGTCAACGCATCTGTAGATATAATTCCCTGTAATCTAATCACGCATATGCGTACTAGATATTTAACTATAATTGTACATTTTGAGAATGCATCATTCTATAGCAGCGACACTTGTGCTGCAGTGCAATGTGAACCAGTCAGAATTGCACCCCAAAGGTCGTGGGTTCAAACCCCACCTTGTCACCAATTTTGCGCCCTTGGGAAAGGCACTTTACACGACTTTCCTCACTTCACTCAGGTGGAAATGAGTAGTCACTACCTAGCTTCGGCTAGGGACGTCCCTCGGATAGGACGTTAAATGGAGGTCCCGTGTTTGGGGAGAGCCACACCCCACGCACCTTTCGAAAAAGAGTAGGGGCATGCCCCGGTGTGCGATGGTACAAACACTACTGTATGGAGTTGGTGAATCAGATTCACTTCAAATCACCCGAATGGAGGCCTGGCGAACCTCTGTTCCGTATCAGCCACATGGTGATTACATCATCACCCGGACGGAGGCGTGGCAAACCCCGTCTTGTATTAAGCTAACAAAAGGGTATGTCACCTCGTAAGGGGCGGTATAACCCCGACCAATACGGTCGACCGATGATGATGATGATGATGATGATGTAACAGTGTAATATGTTGTTTTAGGTCCTTCCTGTGGCTGTTTCTCTATCTGCTGTGTCAGCGTTCAGCTCCAATGTGCTGTCAGCTGAGGAGGCGGACTCTCTCAAGACAAAGCTGGTCACTATGTACAAAGCACATCCACAGGTTCATATCTTGTTTACCTGTTAGAGTAACAACTTTTTAATTAAGATGTGTCATTTGAAAACAAAAATAAGCTATAAAAGCTATGATCTTTCTGTCAAGATTTAGTACGTAATAAAGTTTTATTGCAACAAATTCATGCCCGAGGGCTAATTGCATTAACAGAAGAAATATTTGGTATAAAAACAGATAATTAGTACACACAGAACTACTGATAACTACTAAGAAACTACTGGTAAAAACTACTGGGTTTGACTTCTTTTTTGAATCAGAGTAAGACAAAGGATCCCACTTTTTCTGTAATTTGTGGGTTTTCGGATGTTAAGAGGAGAGTACTTTTCATTTGTATACAATGTATGTGTGAAAGTTTGGGTAGAATTTGGAGGCTATGTCGAAGAGTTCGTTTCGTTCATTGCTATAGAGTCTGAGGGTACAATTTGAGATAAAATGCTTTTCGTCTTCCACCGTATTCAACGTACAATGTTTGCAAATTCGTTCATACACTTGGAGCTTCTTACATGTACACAATGTATATCGCCCTCTCTCAATTTCGAGGGGTGTGCACTAATATAATATACTATACAATGCAAATGAATGAGGAAACAACATGGTGCATTATTTTGGCAATTGTCTTATTTTGGTCAAAATGTCTGTTGTTGGTATTATTATCATTTATTATAAATTGTTAATCATTTTGTTTGGTTTTTTGAAATAATGTTATTACCATTACCATAATTATTATTTATTGTATTCTAGCTGTTTTATTTAATGTATGAAGTACATGTAGGGCCCCACTGTAAACCAGTCAAGCTGGGCAACCCTGCATAAAAATGATGGAAAATAAGAATGAAAGTTTGTTTGTGATATGCTGGGTAATATGTTTTGTTCCAGTCCAGCCCTGTTGCCCAGGCCCTGGGCATGTTGTGCCACGGACTGTCCAGCTCTGGACATGTGCAGGCTGCTGACCTCTCCAGTCAGCTACATGGAACCTGGACAGGCATCCTCAGGGCAAAGGTCAGTGGAATTCAGCAGGAAAGTTCATCTGAGTTGGTAAATTACACTATGAAAAATTTAAACTGTTCTCCAACTCATAAATTTAACTGACCCGAATTTTCGACTGAATCACTGACAGTCTTCCTTAGCTATCTGACCCAAGTGCTGTGGACACATGATTTTTCCCACGTGTGACGTCAGCAAAGGGTCAAAGGTTGTCTGAAGTCGATATCGCCCCCCGTCCCGGTTGAGCGATGGTAGAAGTGCCCTGATGTATATGGCCTCTTTTATGCCTCTCTTAAAGTAATCCTTTGACCCTTTGCTGACGTCACACGTGGGAAAAATCAATGTCCACAGCATTTGGGTCAGATAGCTGAGAAAGACTGTCAGTGATTCAGTCAAAAATTCCGGTGAGTCAAATTTATGAGTTGGAGAACAGTTTAAATTTTTCATAATGTGAGTGGAATTCAGTAAGGCCACACTAAGTTCGTAGATGAAATCCGCACGCACATTGATTTTCACCTGTTTGCAAAAAAAAAAAAATCTCCGACAAGGCTGAAGCCTGGGTGCCATCCTCCATAGTCCATGTTAGCTACCAGCAATAAGGAGCCGTTAGTAACTACGGAGGATGGTACCCAGGCTACTGATGCTCCACAGAACTCTAGAACTCATTATCAGTATGGTACGTTACCACAAATTTGCACTACCACCTTTGCGTTGACCTGTGGTTTAGCACCATTTTTTTTTTTTTTGCTGGACTTTTTTTGATTGCCCACTTACATTTAGTTTTGGGGTCTTCAGAGGATGTCATCCATAAAATTAAGTCAGTGCGACCTAAAATCGGTTTGGGAAAAAAAATCTTGAAGGAGAGAGTGGAAAAAGGCAAGATATATCTTTTTTTTTCCTGATCATTAGTACCAGACGAGTTTTTTTCTTCAAACTACTGTTTTTACATCAAGCAGTATTAACATTATATGCATGTATTACTTTAAAAAATGCATCCAATAGTTAATTGACATCAAATGTTTAGTTTAAGTTAAACATAAACTGCACATTCAAGTACATGTATTTGATGCCAATTAACTGTTGGATGCATTTTTAAGGGTGCATAATGTCCATTTTAAAAAACTGAAAATGAAGATAACTTTGATATGACATTGTATTTACTTCATTCAACAAAAAACAACATTGATAGTGGATAAATCTGCCTGAAGTAGATAAGCATGAACATTGAACACTGTAAGTAATTTTCTGTTTTAATATGATCCAATCCTTCAGAGTTCCCCCACGCTGCTGCAGTTAGCCTCCCTAACAGGACTGGTGTCCCTCTCAGGAACAGAGGCTGCACTCATCCAGGTAAAACTTTCCGTACTCATAATTACCTCCATGAAATGTCATGGAAATTATATTTTCAGTTGCGTTTGTCTGTCGTTCTGTCTCTCTGTCATTCTGTCTGTCTGTTGGTCAATAAGATAACTCAAGAACAGCTGGATGGATTGGTTTCAGACATAATGCATTGGTAGGGTGTAATGAAAACTGGAAGAAATGATTAGATTTCCATTCAATTTGGTTACTGCAGTGCAACTTCTGGTTTTGATACAAATGTATCTTGTGATCTGGCCATGCTAGGGTCTTGAATTTTGGATGGTAGATAGCTCTTGTGTTTGGGTCATCAACATGCTGCCCCTTGGGCCTCAAAAAGGCTATCATAATGGGACTACCTTTACCTATTACCTTTACCAACTTAGTTACTGTGGTTGTTATAATAAGGCTTTCAGTGATATGTGATAACCATGTGAGCTCTCATTATCTACCTGAATTATATTCTTCGCCAAATCGTATTGTTCAATATTTCCTTCGTTTGTAATATTACCATTTAATTTTGTTGTGTTTACTTACTGTTATTTTTCATATGTTCTCTATTTACCCTTATTTTTATTATCATTATTATTATGCTTTTAATTGAAATTGGGGAGGACTAGAATAAGCCCTAAGGCTTTTTTTGTCCCTCACATCCATTTCCTTTAGGTTTATTATAATTCTATATTCTGTTTCGTTTGATTAGTATATTCACTTATACAGTATTGTTTTTGTTTTATGTATGTACAAATAATAATAAACAAAATAAATAAATAACAGATGACAGAGGAGGTGGTAGAGTCATCAGAAGTGCAGCTGCAGCTGAACGACACGGTGAAGCTGCTGAACCAGCTGGTCCAACACTGCCCCAACGTGGGCGTGCAGAGTAACACTGCCTGGATGTTAGGGTACCTGTACATGGCCGCTACCTCCATGGCACACAGCAGGTCCAGTGGTGAGTCTGCCATACTGGAAACATCAGATTCTGCAATCTAGCATGAAAGTTCATCTGTGTTGGTGCAAGTCATTATGAAATAAAGACTAAAGCTTTAACTTCCAACACTTAGATTACAGAATTGGGACTTATCCAAATTTTTGGTTGACTCCATCAACATAAGAGCTCACAGACCAACCCTGAACAGAGACGGGGGGCGACACAAGTTATCTGGCACGTATGACCCGCTACTACGGTCACGTGTCTCTAACGTCACATTCCAAGAGTAGACGGGTCCATTCCGTGAACAAGGTTGATGGAGTCAACCTAAGTGTTGGAAGTTAAAGCTTAGTCTTTATTTCATAAAGATTCTGCAACGTTTTTGTCTTTCAGCACAGCTGTAGATACAAATTTGATACATTGTACTGTAAATCATTTTTAATTGATTTACAGTACAATTTTTAATCAGTATTTTTTTTTTAATTTTGCTTCAGTGTATAAAATTAAATATTTTGCAATTTCTCTGTCACTTCTTTACCGCAAGCTTTTCATTTCTGACTAACAAAGGAAAATAAAAATCTATTGCTGGTATCTTTCCAGTCCCCTCCAACTATGGCTACCTACCAGAGACCAGTGTCCTGAGACCTACAGTAGACTTCATTATTGAAGCAGGAAGAAGAGGTATATAGGATATGAAAGTTTATTTTAGGCCACACCAATTTAATTTCTCGGTTAACGGATTTGCCCGCTTCATTTTTTTCTGATTTGCAAATAAAAATAAAATTCAGGATCAACTGCAAAATGCTAATATTTTGCCCTGAACAGTTGTAAACAGTCCTTTTCTTCCTAGTTGTTACAGTTATTTCATCTTTCAATGCAACCATGGTATCATTAAAAGTTCAAAATTTATTGTTTAAATTTTGAACCAGCCTGATGTGTTGACTTCATGGCTCTTATCGTACCATTTTGGGCCATAATAGGATGCCTAGGCCTGTTTTTATTTTCTTTTTTTCGCCCGCCTGTGCCATTATTTTTCTAGAAAAATCCGTTAACCAAGAAATTAAATTGGTGTGGCCTAACAATTATTTGAATTCAAGATTGGAGGCAATGCTGACAAATTAGATAGAAAATTCTAACATAAATCAATCAATATTTAATATGACCTTTAATTAGGATGGAAATAAAATGTAATAAATATGTTTAAATTAATATATTGTGTACATTGTATAGATCTGAATGTAGAATTGGCAGTATTTCATTTTGCTTCCTATTTCTCTTAAATTACATATTATACACCCATCATGTGCGATATTGCTTGTTACGAGAGCTATATTTTACTCTCTCAGCCTCCAGTTTAATTCCGGACAACCTCCCATATCTCAGCAACCTTAAACTTAGATGGGCTAATATCGCAAACCATCGGTAAAAATGATGTTAGAAATACAGTGCACACAGTGACTAGTATATTGTATTTTTGTCTGTCCACCTTGCGTCCTCCTCTTGTTACCTAAACATGAGACAAAGGATTGTCCTAGGTTTTTAGCTATGTATTTAATATGTCATTCATCTTGTATGGAATAAAGATGATTTTAACCCCCTAGCAGCTATTTGCGACCCCCTGGGGGTTTGTCCAATTATGCATAATTATGCATAATTGTGCATAAATGTGCATAATTATGCATAATGCTTTGAGGGGTAATGCATAATTATGCATAATGCTCAAGGGTTATTTTATGCATAATTGGACAAACCCCCAGGGGGTCGCAAATAGCTGCTACATATTTCTTACATCATTTTTACCGATCGTTTGCGATATTAGCCCATCTGGGTTTAAGGTTGCTGAGATATGGGAGGTTGTCCGGAATTAAACTGGAAGTCCGGAATTAAACTGGAGGCTGTTTCTCATATCCCCCCAGGTCCAGAAGCTATCCCCCCTCCTTATGTGAAGACATCACTTGAGGCTCTGTTGTCAGCTACTGCTCGAACCTTCCCACCTGTCAACTGGGCAGCTATCCTGGCACCCCTCATGAGACTCTCATTTGGTATGTCCCACAGTGACTTCAATTGTTTTGTTTCTGATGGGGTCTTAATCATTAAATATGCCTTCAAAAGCAAATAAAAACTGATAACTAACTTAAGAGGTACATTCTTTGATAAGGATACAGCCTTATGGAAAAGTCGGACACTTCTTTTGGATTTCTAAATGTTGGATATTTCATTTTTTTCATACCTGATCATGAGCCATGATATTTAATATGAGCATTCCAGACTACTAGTATGTGATAACTTGGGTTATGATACGCTTTACACTGTGTTGTATTCTATTATGTCATTGAGATTGTACAAGTCATGTATTTCTTACATGATGGTTGATATATATATATAGCACTTGTATGTAATGTTAAAAAGATATTTCAACATTTTAAAGGTCATAAAATATCCCGTCCTGAATGTTCTACCTTTATGATAGACTTGCAGATTTAATGTGGTGTATTCATTTTTATTTTCATGTTGTGGATGTTGAATAGTATAATGAATACACACAGGGACAGACATCAAGATACAGTGTCTGAAGCTTGTGGTGTCCCAGGCTTCAGCTTCACCCAGTGCAGCGCTGCTCCTGGCCTCATGGGTCTCACAACCTTTGTTTGATAGCCTGGAGGTCAGTAGAATCTGATGTATTTTGTCTTAAGCCATGTTTATTTGATCATATGGATGACATCCATGCATGCACAAGTTTTTGTCCGTTTTCAAAAAAAAAAAAACTTTTCCACCTGCAAATTGTATAAAACTGCAAAAGGAGCAAATATGTGCCATGAATTGGAAAAAAAAATTGGAAAACGATACTTTGTCGTAGATTGCCAAAATCAAAAAAGAAGAAAATGTGAAGAAATGAAAATGAAGAGAGAGTCTATTATTCACCATACAGCATGTGTGTAATCATTTGTGTTTAACCTTCATGACCACATAGATTTTACATTTGTATAATGAAGGCAATTTTATTCGCCAAGGTTTTTTTTTATTCGCACGCTCGCATCAGTTTTGGGGTTCTCAGTAATATTGAAATCAAAATGGTCTAACTTGCAGAAGAAAAATTACTATTCTTTCTGCTTCCATGATCCATTTTTGTCCTTTTGAATGAAAGCTTGTAACATAGATGACCCAAAATTTTGATTCTACCAAGTTCATAAAAAAAATAAGTAAAAGGGTTTAAATATGATTCTTTATTGACACAACAAGTACAGAGACTTTTGTATGGTCTTCTACAACTTAACTAAAGATCTAACAAAGCTAAATACATGACTGTGTGGATAACGTTATCTTACGTACATTATGTATGATGTAACAATAAAAGTTAACTATTCTCTAACATGTGGTCTCTAAGATCGAAACATTCTTTAATGTATTTTCCTATTTGAACACTGTATTGGTTATCTCCCCTGAGAATGTAGTTGCATTTATCTATAGGATCTAACGTATTGAAATCAATTGAACAAGCACTGCGAGGTGTTTAATTATATATCAATATGTAGCTAGTACTTATTATTGCCCAAACAGGTGAAGTGCCAGTCCACACTCTACTCTTCACTTCCTACCATCATGAAGAGCCTGACTGCTGCTAAATTCAAGGCCTTTTTGGAAGACTGTGCCTTCCAGTCATTTGTAATGGAGGAACCAGACCCAAGCCTGCACCTGTCGGTGACCAATGGCCTTCTGGCTGCATTAAAAGTGCCAGACCCACCACAAATGGCAACCCAGCTGTTGTACCACACAGTAGAGAAGGTGTGCAGAGAGATAGGCTTCAGAAGTGCGACCCTTCAGGTGCTGTCCAGCCTTGGCGAGTGCCTTGCTGAACTCCCAGAGGAGCTGGCAGACAACATCACCCAACCACATGGACAGGTAGGTTGGCTCATCTCAGAGGTTCCCCATCTGTAGCTTACAGATATTTATTTACCTTACCCACTTAGGCCACACCAATTTAATTTCTTGGTTAGCGGATTCGCCCGCTTCATTTTTTTCTGATTTGCAAATAAAAATAAAAAATCAGAATCAACTGTAAAATGCTCATATTTTGCCCTGAACAGTTGAAAACAGTCCTTTTCATCTTAGTTGTTACAGTTATTCCATCTTTCAATGCAATGGTATAATTAAAATCGATTGATGTTTGAATTTTGAACCAGCCTGGTGTGTTAACTTCATGGCTCCTATCGTACCATTTTGGGCCATAATAGGATGCCTAGGCACGCCCGCTCCATTATATTTATAGAAAAGTCTGTTAACCAAGAAATTAAATTGGTGTGGCCTTACGTTAAAATGTACAGTACATGTACATGTACACCTTCTATACATAATATTACGGTTACAGTTACAGGACACATCCAGTAAAAAGGGCTTAATAATACAAATCCAGTGTTGTGTATTTTGGGAGCATATAAACACCATGATTATAATGATTTAGGGTTGAGTGAGCATTTGTCACCAACCCCATGTGCACTCTTGAAGGCTTCAAGTGCAATTTCCGGGCAGCAAAACTGGATTTTCAAAGTCAATTTTCTGATGATTCTTAACTGAATCAATCCTATCCCATATTAAATTTCCTATCTTTGAGGCAAAAATGCTGACAATGAAAACAGTTGGCTTGTCTTGTATGATAGGCTGGTTCTTGGGCAGTAATCAAGAAATAAAGAGGAGCCTCATGTAGCTTGTTTTTGAGGCTATTTCAAACACTATGAAATGATGGCGAACAATCATACATGTACATGTATGCTAAGTAGTAAGAAATGGCAGTAAATGTCGATATCAGACAGATTTCCTCATCCAGCATATTTTCTTGTTTTGCCGCCCTGAAATTGCATTGGATACCTTTAAAAGAGTAGATACTGTAACAAGTAGTAATTTCTGCACCCTACATACAGTAATCACAAGGTACAGCCACTGTGGTTAGTACACAATGATTAGGCCACACCAATTTAATTTCTTGGTTAACGGATTCGCCTGCTTCATTTTTTTCTGATTTGCAATAAAAATAAAAATTCAGAATCAACTGCAAAATGCTCATATTTGCCCTGAACAGTTGAAAACAGTCCTTTTCATCCTATAGTTGTTACAGTTATTCCATCTTTCAATGCAATGGTATCATTAAAAGTTCAAAATTCATTGTTTAAATTTGAACCAGCCTGGTGTGTTGACTTTATGGCTCCTATCGTTCCATTTTGGGCCATAGTAGGTTGCCTAGGCCTGTTTTTATGGGTTCACCACACCACGAAGTGGTGGTGAACCCATATTGCTTTTTCTGATGTTTCTTCTTCTCCTCCTTCTCCTGCCATTTTTTAAATGGATTCAGCTTCTTCATTTTAGGGCCTAAGGTCCTGAAATTTGGTATGGAGGTACAGTGGGCAAATACCCCTAGGCGTTTTTTAAATTTTTGTGATACAGGCTTTTAGAATGGTTTTATTTGAGTTTTTTGGGCTGTGTTATAGCAAATGTATTACTGTGTTAGTGTGCCGTGTTTACCACGTCTGGGCATGAGTCATCACAATGGAATGCAGGGCATCAACCAATAGGCATGCAGCTTTCCTCTATACTTCTTGCTGATTGGCTGTTGGGATTTAACTTGATTAACACCTGCACAGAGCATTTCCACCTGCACAGAGCATTTCTTGCTGATTGGCTGTTGGGATTTAACTTGATTAACACCTGCACAGAGCATTTCCATACTGACAGTATGTCTTTATTCAAGTGTTTTGGTAGGTATTTCAAGCTTTTCTGCTCCAGCATTGGAATATGCGGGGCATGTAACGTTTTTTTTTTTTTTTTGAAAATCAACAGTTTGCATTATGCAATTAAAAATCCTAACCAATAAAGTAGGGAATAGCTATCCAACTGTTGTTTTAGTTGTATGTTACTTCATATTATAGTTATATCAATGTAAATCATTGTTTTCCCTTGTGTTTCTCATTCTTTCCCTGCCATGTGGTAAAATGTGGTGAACCCATCGCTGTATTTGCTCCAAAGCAAATATTGGCCTTTCTAGTTTGTTTTTTTTC